GGGGGGGGACAGGATGAAGGATGATATTTTGTGTTGCTGACGTCAGCTGCTCTTAAAGTAGAACCGCTACACAACGCAAGACCGAAGAGGCTTTAGCACTTTGAGTCAAACACATCCGACACGAGTGGAAACGTTTTTACGGCACAGCCGGGAGCGAGCTGCCACTCAGGGGGGTTTTAAACGTTACAAAAGGGTGGAGGAGACACATCAGCTGCATTTGCAGTGTATTTGCAGCGCAAGCTTTGTTCACACACCTGGTTTTCAGTCAGAACTAGTCGCTGTTCGGCCAGTCCTGCTGAAACACCGGCGCAGATATCACTGTAATATTCTGATATGTGCTGTTTAGTGCCATGCATATCTGCCGCACATTTCTGCTTCCAAGGTCTTGCTGCAGTCAGAGGATTACAGTATTAAGACTTTGTGGACTTGCTGCATTGAAAAAAAGGGCGTCATTGTGAGCAGCTTTGTGAGGGGAAAACATTTCTCTGTGGAAGCTCTGTCATGTCTGCTTGCTCACAAGCTTCAGGCTGCGTGTTTACACTGAGAGGAATCAGAATTTCACACAGAGCTGTAGAATATTTGCCCATTCCGTGCGGTGCAATTATTAGATAGTAGCATTTTGCTTACTTAGACGCCACAAAACAGAGGCATCTGAGCTCTAATCTCAGTACTAATCAGTGTGCTCTAAATACCTGCCATATCCCGCAGTCACATCACTCCACAGTCTGCTGACTAAAGTAGAAGCACGGCCAAAGCTCTCTCAACCGAATTGAGGAAATATATGTCGGACACACTTCTAAATCCAATACTGCAAAATATTTCTCTTTAACTACTGTCTGTGATTGAGTTTTGGTCCGTTTTTTTACGCTCTTCCCTTGACAGAAATTCATTGAATTTGAGGATGCTCTGGAAGCTGAGAAGAAGGACCTGCAGATGCAGGTGGAGTTTCTGGAGCTGCAGGGGAAACAGCTGGAGCTCAAGACAAAGAACTACTCCGACCAGAGTAAGTGGATGTCCTAAGTGGATGTCCTTAAGATGTCCTTAAATGTGCTGTAAATGCAACACCTGTATTTTTTTAAACAACATCAGCCCAAACCGGAAAATGGTCTTATGCATTTAAAACTACTTCTGGGAGGAACCCCCTTTTTTTCTAAGTATCTAACAGAATAGGTCAGGCTGAGACTCAAGATATATTTTAGTGTTGTTGTATGGAAAAGGAGGCAAGTAGAAATATTCATTTTCCGATCCATCCTGCCATTTGTTTCAGGGGGTTTTCACAAAGCTAAACTTATTATCAGACAAAAGCAAATATGTAACGTAAACTTTTTGTCTGGAAAGTATCTGAATGAATGTTGCTGCTACCTCTCCGCGTCTAAACTGCCCTCTGTCCGTTCCACAGTCACTCGGCTGGAGGAGCGAGAATCCGACCTGAAGAAAGAGTACAACGCTCTTCACCAGCGCCACACGGAAGTGAGCAAACAGTCCACCCAAGAGTCCCCGTATCGCTACATACCTCCACACAGTTAGCAATCCGAGTCAATTTTCCCCTTCGTTCTGATCCCAGATGATCCAGACGTACGTCGAGCACATCGAGCGGTCCAAAATGCAGCAAGCAGGCAGCCAGTCGGACGGCCCCGGCTGTGGACGAACGTGAGTGGTCCTTAACCTGTAACTTTCAGCCGACGTCGTGTTGAAGACGTTTCATGTGGTGTCCTGAGTGTCTGAGGCTGTTGGTGTGTCATCGTTCCCGCGCTCTGTCAGGAGGGAGCAGCTGGTCCAGCAGGGAGGAGAGGCGGTGTGGAAAGAAACCCAGCAGCCATCCAAAACAGGCATTAGAAAAAATAAATGGCTGTTCATTGCCAGCTTGCAGCGTTGCGTCTGGGCCTGCTGAGGTTAACAGAATTGAGTATTTATGAGGACCGGCAGACTAACGCTGGAACCTGGGGCAGTGAACGGCCGGCGGTCTGGATCGGCTTCAGCCGTGAGACCACAGCCGCTGTTTTCCTGGCCTGCAAAATTCAAGCCGATACTTGAGAGATGTGGTCTGAATAGAAGCCAAAAAAACTGTGTGTCAGTGTGCGTCAAGGCATGTTCCGGTGTGCTGTCTCTCTCTAATGGGTGTCTGTCTTGTCTGTCTTGCCGGCTTGCTCTCTGTGCCGCCGTTTGCACAGTCAACGCCACACATGGAGGAAAAGGTAAACCCAACATGGTCCCACAGCTGCCCCCCCACCCCACCTCCCCTCAGCTCCCTCTTACAAACCGGCCTGCTCGGAATTGAAATGCGACTAAGAGATGCTGATGCCCCTCCCTACATTTTGCTTTTGCCTTACACCACCTTACATACAGCGGCATGTGAGAGTTTGGGCACCCGTGGTTAAAACCGCTCCTACTGTGAATCGATTTCTCAATTTCTGGAAATTGTACGGTTTAAAAAAGTACTTTACATGAATAGCATTTGATGATTTTTTTTTTAAAACTCATTATTCTTGCAAACGAAAGGCTCCTAGGTTTGTGATTTTCTGCTGAAATCTGTCAACGGATTTTCAGACTGACTAAAGTTCAGGTCAGACGACTGGGTCCAACTTTGAACTTGTGCACCTTGAGGTGTTTAAGACATGTTTAAAATCATTAACCAATCTCTTTTCTCCCTCATCCGTTAAAACAAAGGATCGCTTTCAGGCTTTTCTGCTGCATATGAATCTACTCCTGCAACATGTTGTCTCAGAACTAGCCCAAAGCATAATCAATTCATCAACGTGCTCCACAGCTAGAGGCCTTCTTTTCATGAGATTCTGCACCCCAAACACCGTCTGTTAAATCTTCCATGGGGTTTTACTGCTGAGCAGATGTTTGATTTGCCTTTCCTATAGTCTTTTGAGTAGTTGGGCATCCAAGTTTTGCCGATGAAACTTTTCACAGTACGAGGCAGCTGCTAAGAAATTCCCCCGGCCCAAAACCATAACCGTGACAAGCCAATTAAAGTCTGAGATCTTGCAAAAAAATTCTTGAATCACTTGGAATTTTTCTAATTTAATTATGCCTTTGCTCCATTTCTGCTCCTCCTTCCTTTTTCCATTCTAAAACATCACTGACACACAAATCACGCCTAAAATATTACCAGGAATGGTTAATCTATCCCTGTAACTCAGTTCACCCTAAATGATCGCTAATAGTAACAGAGACTTTAACCAGGGCTGCATAAACCTTTGCATGCAGTTAAAGTTCCCCTCATGCATTTGCATGAGTAGCAATTGATGCTTGAAGCAACTGTTTGTTCTTCTGAATTGAAGGTTCTGCATTTTGGAAGCATATTGGGGCATAGGGAAGTGATAAAAAGTCATGCTCAGTAGCTAATTACAGGTTTTCTGGATTTCTCCGTCTATCTTCTCCTCCCTCCAACATTTTTTTGTCTCTCTGTCAGACTGACCCAGTGTCTGTCCATCTGCCTTATTTGTCTGTTTTGTCCATGTTGTGTTCATTCTTAAGCATCAGCTTTTAGATTGCTGTGTTTCTGTGGAGTTATTTGCAGTCTGCATTCGTGTTGCACGTCCGTGGACAACTCCCAACGGTACACCGTGAAGATGTGCATGTGTCGTGTTCCCTCTGGGGGCTTTCCCTCATCTTTTTTTAAGTGGATCGGACACCTTTTAGCACTAGCTGACTTACTGGTGAAAGTTTTTAGAGGGGCCTCTTTTTGAGATAGATTAACAAAAAATAAAGTGTTTCTGCTGGATTTGAATTGTGTTTATATTTTGCTTTGTGCAGAACCATTTCTGGCTTTCTGAGCTGCTATGTTCATGTTTAGGCCACTGCAATGAGCGGATTCCAGCTACAAAGCAAATCCAGTGAGACAACAGTTAATAATGGTCCCATAATTGTTGTAGCCCTAACTATCCGTGATCCATGATGAAGTATTGTCATAGTGGCAGATCCACTCCCTATCTTGCATGCCAGGGGGGACTGAATAAGACTTCACTGAAACTGCTCTCTCATTAGTCTCCACCCTCCCTTCTTGTCTTCTGTGCCCGCAGCAAAGCAGAGCGCCCGCCGTCGTTGAGCCTGTACCCCAGTGGCGAAGGCATGGTACGTGGGGGTCTCGGGGGGGCTAGGATGATGCCCGGGAAAGACATCTGGCAGGTCAGCGAGCTCGGCCATTCCACCTTCAGCTCCGCCTATCAGGTGGGACAGACAGTGGCCCTGTCCTCCTCCACCGCCACAAGCACAAGCTGGGGGAGTGGAAAAGGGAGGGGCTAGCACCACTGCTGCTAGCCACGCCCGTGCGGACCACCTCCCCTCCCACGCCTGCTTGCGTCACTCTCGAAGAGGCAGCTTTCAATCAAATCCCTCCTAAATATTCTGTCTGGGGATCTAATTTGCATATTACAGGGAATTTGTTGACTCAAGCAAGCAGGGATGACATTTTGCTTTCTTTCTTTTTTTTTTAACGCAACTCTGCTGTTGTCCTTACTGTGGGATTATTTTATGGTCTTATTGTGGAGCTTCGACCATGTGTTGTATTCCGTGTTTTAGTTAATGCTTGCGCATCAAGTTTAAGGGTGTGTGCCCAAATATTGGTTATGTAAAGGTGAATGTTGTTAAGTTTTTAAACTGGAAAAGAAGCTGCCGAGGTGGAGAACAAGGTTAGCATCACTGTCATACCGACGAGGGCCGCTGACCCATAAGGCCTTAAAATATGACTAGGAGCGTAAAAACAGTGTGGAGTCTGATTTTAAGACTAATGGAGTGTCAATTCCAACTGGGAAATCATGCAGGCAAATTTGGTACATTTATGTTTTTATATCAATATAAACTACAACTTCTTAATGTGCATCAACCTCTTGAGATATTGTTTTCCCAAAAGTCACAATAAGGAGTTTAAAATAAACTAATGTAAGTTAAATCTTTGAGCTTTTTTATTTTATTTAAGTAATATTGTAGTTTGTACTTTAAAAATGCTGTATTATGTCTGCGCACAGAAACTTTACAAATGAGAAATCCTGGAGCTGCTCATAAGAAAGTTGTAAGATTTATATATTTGGTTTAACTCTCCAGTTTAAGATGAGTTGAAACCAGTTGGAGGAATTAAAAAATGAGCTGTCGAGTGTCATAAGAAAAAAGTTAGCGCCTATCTCGTGCTTGTTCTGATGCCGTTTGTCTCTTTTTCCCGTCTGACCGCTTCATCTCCATCCCTGTACGCTGCTGCCGCCCATGAAGGAGGATGGGTCGGAGTCTGACTCAGTTGCAGCCACACCCAGCAGCACAGGAAGCAAGTCCGACACGCCCACCTCCTCCGTCCCCTCCGCCAGCGTCACCCCCATCAACGAGGGCTTCCACTCGGATTTTGACGTCATTAGTGCTGGGAATCGCCGGAAAAGTGCCAAGCGTCTCAGTCGGAATATGGAGGTGCAGGTGTCCCAGGAAACCAGGAACGTCAGCATCGGTAAGAGGATGGGTTGAAAACGTCAGTTTTTGAGAGGAAAACCTAAACCACCAATAGCCTCTCCTGCTTTAATGGATGGTACATTAATGCTCTCTTGCAAAAAGCTTCTGCTGATCTGTAATTGTCTTATCTGTCTGGGACATTTTTCCAGGAATGGGAAGCAGTGGTGAATGGTCAGAATTTCAAGAGATCATTGATTCAACCAATGAACTGGAGGACCCCCGTGTATATGGAGGGGGAACCAGGTACATCTGAAATGGGAATAAATCTAAGCATAAATATCACATCTGTTTTAGAAGCAAAAACAAGAATGTCACAGTATAAGAGGAATGCCCTGTTTCACTTAAGTTTAAAAAATCCCCATGGATATTTCAAATCCTGTTTGGGCATGTCTCTGCACACAACATATACTGTATTCTCACAGCTGAAAAAACCCTGCAGACATTTTTTTTCTTAAAGGTTGTCCATTTTTATTTTAGTCAGAATTAAGTTTATGAACGCCAGTATAGTTTCCTTCTCTTTTCACGAAACCTTAAGGAACTGAAACGCTCTGGCGCACCATAAAAAACAGGTCAAGATCCCCATTTTATTGTCTCGTGCAATCACAATTTTTCTTGCCCTTTCAGCCCCTCTCAGGGAATAGTGAATGCGGCGTTTGGCATCAACACTGACTCTCTCTACCATGAGATCATAGACGCCAAGTCAGACATCATTGGGGACGTGGATGCAGGTGCCGAGCTTCTAGGTATGAACAGAATTCTTCTCTAATGGTCAATATATTCAGATGTTTAAAGAAAAAAAACAAATAAAATGCAGATTCCTTTTCCTAAAATGAATACTTTGGAGCTGAGATGACTCTAAAAAGCCGGGGGAAAAATGGCCATGCATGGGTGTATTGCACAATTGCAGCATTTGTTTTTACTTTGCATTTCAGCAGAGAACACGCCGTGAGGCTCAATGAATGGGCTTATTTTTTTATTTCTTGCATGGAAGGCTGCAGCACTTCATCTTGTCAAATTCATCTCTAAGAATCAACAATCTGTCGTGGAATTTTTTCTGTTAGCCGAAGCAAGAAACAGCGATTTGTTTTAAATCAAACTTCATGAAGTGAGAGCATGCAGCAGGAAGTACAAGTTGTGCATTCGACACACTAAGCTGCTCTGAAATGGGAAAGTAATGCCGCATTCTGCATTCTGTTCCGGCTACATACACTCACTTATCAGCGTTCCCAGAAGCGGCTCTCTGCGTCGTCCTTCCCGCCGTACAGATTGACTCAGTCAGCAGCAGACTAGTTTTACTTTTCGCTCAGAAACATAAGAATAACTGAAAAATAACCAGCTATACTGAGCGTGTAATCAGATCCAAATTTTTCCATCGCAAATCTCTCTCAGCAAGTTTCAAATGCAACCCCAGCAGCCGATTCATGCAGTCTTACTTTTAGTAGTTTTTTTTCTCTCTGGTTTCCATAATTGTCTGTTATCTTAAGGTCAGAGTCGCATTTAATCTAATTCAATAAAAATATTCTTACACTCATATTTTTTATATTTTGTTTTACAGTTGTCCATGATCACTCTCCCTTTTTGCTTTAAGGGACTTTGTTGATAGTCATTTCTGTTAGAATTGTTCGTATTTTTTCTCCAATCCCTGAACTTTGCAGAGCAGAAATATAGAAAGGAAACTTGAGCCATTCTCCTTGCGGTCTGTTAACCTCTCACCCATTTCTTTTTGTCCCTCTTTTATGTGCTTCTGCCGGTGACACCCATAGGCGAGTTCTCAGGTGTGTATCTTACCATGTTTTGGTTGCCATCTTTTTTTCTTACACTCTTTCAACTCCTCTCTACTTTTCAAACTCCCCTAAAAGTGAAGAAATGATAAAATAGCACATTATTGTAGCTGTGAACACAAGGACATGATTTATTGCTTTATTGCTTTATTTCCTTGTGATTTATTTCCTTATGAACACAAGGAAATGATTTATTGCAACTGGAAATGCTCATTTGTAGCTCAGTGTACTCCACAGCCAGATTCTATGATATAAGATTTCTAACTTCTCTGTTCCAAGTCCTCATAAAATCCAATCTACTAGGATTTTCATCAAACGTACTGTATGTAGCATTTTATCTCACTAATGCACCAATAGCTCACTAATGCACAGAAAGTGTCATATTTGGTCACATTGAGCAGCGTCTGCAGAACCAACCAACTTTTTGGGACCGGAGGCCTTACTGCACATTTATCTATACGTCATTCCACATCAGTGACCTCTCTGGAACTTTAAGAAAGATTTTACATTGATTGAACAAACCATCTCTTGGGTGGCAAAAATACTGAATCCAACGGGAGAGGGAAACTGGAGCTCCTGTGGTCCTTAGCCTTAGTTAGTTAGTTAATCTAAGTTAATGGATGCTTCTCAGCAACCTCTCTTTTGTCTTCCTGTCCCTTTCCTTCTCTCTCATTCTCTAATTTCTCCGATATGCTTCTCTCATCTCCCTTTTTCCTCCCCCTTTTTCTTCTTTTGCCTCCAGTTCGTGATGATTTCTTCGGTAAGGCTCCCCTTGCCTACGCTCATGGTCACTTTTGCTTGTTATGTCATTTCCTGGCAAGCTTTCACCGCCTTCTGGTTGCTTCCTTGTGTCTGTTTTTATGTAGCTTGATATCTACATGTTGTGCCACTTTTGCATCTCCCCCTCCTAATTTTTAAAAATATATCTTCATGAAAAATTAATGCAAAGGACCATGATATAAACTTTTTACAATTTTTAAAAGCATTGCAACAGATAGTTACTTTTCTATGTGAAACTAGAACACAACAGCAGAAAAATGTGACAATGTTGGATTAAGTCAGATAGATAAGAGCTGTGTTGCATTCGATTTATTCGATTTATGAATGAATACAATGAAATGTCCATTGAAAAATAAATGACCAGGCTTTCCAACACACCTCCCTTCAGGTTGTTTTCTGTTTTCTCAAGCTAAGATTACAACTCAAAGTCTATGAGAAAGATTGAACCCAAACAGAAAAGTCTACAGTCAGATCACATACCACAACATTAACTCCTCTAATCCACTTTAACCAAAACCCTGCTTTCTGAATGCTAGACAGCCACTGCCAGCTTTTAAGAACCCTTTTTTTTTGGTCTGGATTTGTTTGTTTTTGACATGTTCTCATGTCTGGATTTTTGTCTGTGTTGAAATTTCTGCTTAAGGTTTGTGTGCTCCGCTTGTGTTGCACAGGGCTTGCTGCTTCCATTCAAATAACATTCAGGTTTTCTACAATTCATTCCCCATAATGTTGTAGATAATCAGGAGTTGGTGATAAGGTTGTGGGTTGAGCTTGATATTAATGGCACCATGGTGATGATATCAGCACTTTAGTCTGCATGCTTCTGCACTTACTGACTGATGGTTTTAAAGAAAGCACATTTTACACTTTGAGTAAAAAAAAAAAAAGTGGTTGAAATGTAGTTTTTAGTACTACTCAACCTGTTATCTAGACCATATATTTGTCAATCTGAAAGAGCGTTCTGCTATGGAAACACTGAGCAGTATTTGAGGTGTAAATGAACAAAGTGAGCCACAGGATTTTTGATGTTCTCTATAAGGTGTGATGGCTAATAGAGACTGAATGTGACTGTTACAGGGATGGGGAAGGAAGTGGAGAACCTTCTGACAGAGAACAAACAGCTGCTGGAGACCAAGTAAGAGACACATAAAAGATTAATAACTGTTTTCAGTCTCGATCTAGAAATCCAATAAATGTTTTGCCTTTCATGTTGAATCCATCATTATGATTAATTTATCCTATCTTGTCACACTGCTGATACCTTATTCTGGCGTCTGCCTGCTCTTTGACAGAAATGCTCTCAACATTGTGAAAAACGACCTTATTGCCAAAGTGGACGAGCTTTCGGGGCAGCAGGAGGTACTGAGGGAGGAGCTGGAGGCGGTGCGGCAGTCCAAGAACAAGGTGGATGCCAAAGTCAAGGAATTGGAAGAAGAGCTCAAGAGGTAAAAACATTCAGTCCTGGAATCTTTATTTTTTGTTGTCTCATGGTCATGAAATGGCTCAGGTAGAGTAATAATCCAGTTTTATGGCAGACAAGATATGCACAATCAAACAGGAATGTGAAGCTAACACTACAGGTAGGAGTAAGAACTTTGAAATGAGCTTCTGCCCTTCTGCTGCAGGTTGAGGGCAGAAGCTCTCGGAGCGTCTCGAGACTCCAAGGATGAAGGAAGTGATGATGTAAGTTGTTTTTTAAAAAGCGTCTGGCCCTGCTGACACGGTCCTACATACAGCTTTATTTTTCAGCGATGAACACTCATGATAACATCATCACGCTAAGAACATCAACAACCCTCACAGAAGCCATCTATGGCCAGATTTTGCACAAAAGTAACGATAACCTTCAATACACTTTTTTTGGTGTTCAGTTTGCATCACCCATGCAAGACGGGGACATGACGATGACCCAGCGCCGGCGGTTTACTCGGGTAGAGATGGCCCGCGTACTGATGGAGAGGAACCAGTACAAAGAGAGGCTGATGGAGTTGCAGGAGGCAGTCCGGTGGACAGAGATGATCAGGTAGACACCAGCAGAGCATCTGCACAAGAATCCTCTTTCATTCTTTTTTTTTTTATTTATTCATCACATTTTTGATTCGTCCTTTCTCTTTTTTTCCCCTGTTATATTCTTATAACGAGGTACTTCATGATTGTTGTTTCTCTCTTCTCCTCTCAGGGCTTCCCGAGAGAGTCCTGCAATCCAGGAGAAAAAGAAATCCACCATCTGGCAGTTGTAAGAACTCCGTCACAGGAGTGAAATTCAGAACATTTTTAAAGGGGAGACATTCCTGGAGAAATAAAAGCCTGTGCCTCTCTTCCTCTGTCCCCAAGCTTTGCACGTCTCTTCAGCACGTCGTCCAGCCCTCCGCCGGTCAAGCGGCCGTACTACAGCGTCAACATCCATTACAAGTCCCCCTCGCCGGCCGGCTTCACTCAGCGGCGCAGCCACACCATGTGCCAGATTTCCACCTCCAACCGCACGCTGGAGTTCTTCCCTGAAGAGTGAGCAGCAGCCGGCTCCTGACTCCCCGGGAACGCTCTCCCTTTCCTTTGGTCTGAGTCCCTGCTCGCTTGCTCGCTTGTGGCAGCTTGCGGAGTAAAGAGCTTTCAGAAGCTTATTTGGAATGGGGCTTTGAATTGTGTGTTGGAAGTTAAATAATCATTTAGGCCTTATGTCATATATGCTCCAGGTATAACATGCAGCATGGATAGATTTTCAAAGTTTCCTTACTAGATGGACAGATGGAGAGAAACCCTAGCAGTTAAACACTGCTTTGATTAGTTTTGAATAAATGATGAATCCGTTTTTGGATTGGAAAGACTGGAATGAAAAATTCAAGATGTTTATCCAACAGGCCACCAGTTGTTCTTAATCTTACGCCTGACTGAAATGGGTTTCCCCTCAACATTTTACAAACACTAAACATCTAAAAAAATCTTTCCATGAGCTAAAGTTGAAAACGATGCTGCTTGGCTGGGGCCAGAGGGAAGTTGTTTAACAGCTACTCATAACTCCATTGCTGTAGCTCTCTCTCACCTTTATTTCTTCTTCTTTTCTCTCTGCCTCCTGCTGCTGGCTGGCCAGGCTGCTAACGCTTCGCTTTTTCTTCTCCCTTCCCTCCCGCTGCTTCCAGACTGGCCAGTAACGGTGTTGCGTCTCTCCTCAGTGACTCGGCACTGTTGGCCCGCCGAGAGCAGCGGCGGGAGCAGTACAGGCAGGTGCGTGAGCACATGCGCCGCGACGACGGCATCATGCAGGCCTGCGGCTGGAGCGTGCCCTCTCGGTTCAAACAGGTAGGCAACAACGCGGGGACCCCTCCGAGGGGTTTCAGTGGCTTACATGAGATCCTGCCAACATCTGCAGTGTAAGCCTGTTACGGGCATGTGTGTCCAGGCCTGCGATGGGAAACTGGCTTTGTAAAACATTATACCCGGATCTGTCACTTTTGTCGCCGGTTAGAATCTTCAGATTTTCAATGAGAAGCTTGTTTCCTTTTGTTTAAGCCCATAAAAGCCTGTTTAACCATGTAATGCCAATTGTATCATATTTGATACATACGGTTTCTGAAGTCTTTTGGATTTGAGACTTTTTGCATCATTCAGTGGTAAAAGCTTTGCTCAAACACCTGTTGTGCACATTCAGATATACCTGATAACAGCCAGTAGAAGACTACACCAAAATATATTTTTGACTTACTGCACACTAATTTGATCAAAAATAATTTCAGTTTTTTTTTTTCCTCATATGTTGTTGAGGGGCCAAAGAAAGACTTCAGACTAAAACAATCCAATATTCTTCCTATTTGTTTTGGAACAGGCTTTAAAGGGTTAAGGTTAATTGTCTCAAAGGCATGACGTACTATCCTGTATTACGCTGTGAGAAATGATCCGTTGAAACTGATCAGAACGCTGCTGGCTGCTGCTGTTGTTCAGCTCCAGGCGGGGGCATCAGGGCACATGTATACGTCTGACTTATCTAGCTGAAACAAGCAGAAACTCCACCAACAGAAGTGCTTTCTTACTGTCTGGGAACGACTGTCTTTTTAAACTTTTTTGCTGCTGTGCTGCCAGCGGCCCCAACTCCTCACACCTGATCTGTAAGGGAGCTGCATACTGAGCTGCAGTAGCTGGGGTTTCACATCAGTTAGGGACTGTTTTCAGCTTTGGAAGACTAAACCTGCATCCTGCGGGGAGCTTTGCGAGTATTTTCAGGGCACATGTGGCTCTAAATCCAGAGTTCTCCAGAGGTATGGTGTTGAAAAAGTGGAAGAATAACGCCTTGGTTTCAAATATGAACGTGTGACTTAAACTATGCCTGGCAGACTCAAAGGCCAGAGGCCAGAGGGCAGAGTGTGTTGGTAGGCAGGTGGCTCTAACTCTGGTCTCCCACAGAATGGTGGTCAGACGGACAGCGCTCAGGACAACCCGCTGAAGAGGCAACAGGCAAGTGAGACCGACAGAGTGCCAGCATGCTCCTTTGAAGGCTTCCCCGCCCTTTAACCTTCCACCTTAAGCCTCGGTCCCTGTAGAAGCAGACAGCTGAAACCTCAAAAAAGGGCAGAGCTGTAGAGAAACGATCACAAATGTGTGATTTGTGATCAACGTGACCCTTGCATATGCATGAAAATCCGGTTGTTTTATTTTTAAGCCTAGTGAGAGTCCGTTTTTCATACGTCTTTAGATATATGTCCTACCAAGAGACACGCGCACAATTTGTGACTGCAGGTCTCTTAAAAAGTCATATTTCTTATTCCTTTCTTCCTGTACCCATGTTTTTCAGCCTTTAACCTTTAACCTCTGTCTGTCTCAACCTGCCCTATCTAACAAACTGGTGTGATTTCTTAACTCCTGTGCCTCCTTAAAGGAAAAATCCACTCTAAAAATGTCTTTAAATAGTTAAATGTGTGGTTTCGGTGTCCCTGGAGTTGGTAAAAAAAAACAAACAAGAGATGGCATGCTATGAATGAGGAGAAGGACGATTAATTTCAGATCTGGGAAAGCTTTCCTTCCACCAAGTAGACTTGTCTCTGTGCTGTATGATAAACCCCCTCTGTCGGTAGTCTGGCGGCACTCTGTTGATAGGTTGAGCTCGGTGGAAAAGTGGAGTTTTCCTTTAGTTCCTGTTGTGTATGTACTGCACATATATGCAGTGTATCCACAAACAGTGAATGTTTTTCTCTTTTTTTATTGATACCCGATTGAATTTGTAATGGTATGACGGAACATGTCAATAATGAACTATTAATCTTGTCTCCTGATGGCTAAACCACCTATTTGTTCAGACCACCAATGAAAAAGAGGATAACCGCATGAAGAACGTCCCTGTCCCAGTGTACTGTCGCCCTCTGGTGGAAAAAGACCCCAACAGAAAGGTTAGACTTTTGTCACAGCATGGATTTAAGGTTTATTCTTCCCAAACAAAGGCTTTTTTATTTTATTTACTCGTTTGAATTATTTTATTTAAACTTTGAATAAAGATCTAATTTGCATGTTTGACTCCAGAATAGTTTTCAAATGTTTAAAAAGCGCTTTCCTGTTCTCTTTGAGTGGCTCAATTACTATAATTGTTTTGGTTATATGAGTTGCAAAGTAGCTTTGGGTACACCTCAGACATATTCCATTAACTGTTCTGACCTTTGACCATTACTTAGGGTTGTACTATTTATAATTTATGCATTTGTCCATGTACGTGCACATAGTTGTGGTGTGCAGCAGGAGTGGATCTGGCAGGATGGCGGGCCGGCAGCCAGGAGGCGCCGGCTAAAGCCCCGTCAGGCAGCAGGGACCCGCTGCGTGCCGAGGACGACGGATCCGACAAAAAGAACAACCACACGTCCCCCGAGAAGAGGAAGGTAGACAAACTGAGAAACTCGTCTGATTGTATTAAGTGACCCCTCCTGTTAAAATATATTTTGGTTAGGGGCAGTGTGCCGCCTATCTGGGGGGACTGTGACCCAGTTTTGTGTCCCTGGAATTGACACATGCCTCTTAAACCTTTATCTAACAGACATAAGTCATTTGTTCTAGAAAAAATATCTGAAACCCCTTTTTCATACATCTGTGACAAAAAATCGGCTGATATTTAAGTGATTACGTAAAGAGAAGGTTAAAGAGAAAAAAAGAAAATATTTATGCAACCAATGCTTTTACTAAAGTCCAGCGTTAAAGACGCGGATATAAACCATGTCTGTGTTATGGTCACATCGCTGCCTTTAGTCAAAGGAGCTCCAGGAGACGGACACCATGAACAGTCGAGTGTGGATCCTCACCAGCACCCACTCCGCCAGCAAGGTGGTCATCATCGACGCCAACCAGCCGGGCTCGCTGGTGGACCAGTTCAACGTGTGCAACGCCCACGTGCTCTGCATCTCAAGCGTGCCAGGTCAGCCGGGGAGCGCCGCTTCGAGCCAGGCCGATTCTTCTTCGGTTGTTTTCGTCGTTCATGTGAGCGTTGCACACTTAATGTGTGTGTGTGTGTGTGTGTTGTGTGTTTGGATTCAGCTGCAAGTGAGAGTGATTATCCAGCCGGAGAGATAGTTCTGGACCCGGGCGACGGTGGAGCCGGGGGCGGAGAGGACGCCGGGGGGGTTGAGGGTATGTTGGCCGGCATCACACTCGTTGGCTGTGCCACCAACTGCAGCGTTGCCCAGAGCAACTGCTCCTCACGCACTGACACACCCATAATGGACAAAGGACAAGGTGGGCACTCCATAAATACCCCAGCTGCGCGGCAGCGTCTAAAAAGGAGGTGATGGGTTTACTCTGGTGTTGTGCCCTCAGCCCCCGCCGCTGCCCCCGTCAATGGGAAGATCCAACCCGCCCAGTCGGCCGAGGAAGCCACCGAGGCCACCGAGGTGCCCGAGCCGACCGCCAACCACGCGGGAATGCGCCCCGGACCTCCCGGGCCCTTCACCGAGCACGTCTTCACCGATCCCCCGCCTCGGCCGGCGGATGACAGGTTGGCGATCCGAGTCCGAAGTCTGTCTCTGTGGAAGCAAGCGGAAAGGCGGTTCTTCAAGGTGTCTGTCCACACAGGAGCACCGGTCAGCCCAAAGAGGAAGCCTCTCAGCCCACGGAGTCCGAGGATGGAGGTGAAGAAGCCAAAAACTACACCAGCGTGGCCCCCACCATGTGGCTTGGGGCCCAGAATGGCTGGTGAGTCATTACTTTAAATAATCACCAGCAACATCTCGCCATGAATAAGCGTTTAGATTCTGTGGTGTAATAAATCTCCCCAGAAACAGGGAGAGGCTTGTTTTATTTTCTCAGCACTAACCTTGTTGTTTTTTTTTTTCTTTTTTAAGGCTGTACGTCCACTCAGCCGTGGGAAACTGGCAGAAGTGTCTCCATTCCATCAAACTCAAAGATTCTGTGCTCAGTCTGGTGTAAGTAAACCATCCCCGTCTATCCTACTTTTGGACAGTTTCAAAGCATCTAGTTTCAAAGGCAGTTTTCTGACATCAGTAAGTGTCTCTGAGGTCCTCTGTCTCCTGATTAAAGGCATGTGAAGGGTCGTGTGCTGGTTGCCCTGGCCGACGGAACGCTCGCCATCTTCCACAGATCAGAAGGTATTTGCAGCGTGATTGTTCATTTCCCGGCAGCGTGGTCCCGCCCACCCTTTACAGGGGTCCGCACAGGCTTCTGCCCGGTGTTATTATCGCAGCCTTCTTTGCGTCCATTGTGTGTTTCTTGTGGACAGATGGTCAGTGGGATTTGTCCAACTACCACCTGATGGACCTGGGTCGACCCCACCACTCCATCCGCTGCATGGCCGTGGTCCACGACAAAGTGTGGTGCGGCTACAAGAACAAGATTCACGTCATTCAGCCGAAAAGCATGCAGATTGAGGTGAGTTTTGAATCCCCACGTGGCGTTTAGGATCTGCCCTTATTATCAAGCTGTGACCACGCCTGCACCCCCTCCCACCACCGCTGCAGAAGTCCTTCGACGCGCACCCCCGTAGGGAGAGTCAGGTGCGGCAGCTGGCGTGGATCGGCGATGGCGTGTGGGTGTCCATTAGACTGGATTCCACCCTGCGTCTGTACCACGCGCACACACACCAGCACCTGCAGGACGTCGACATCGAGCCGTACGTCAGCAAAATGCTGGGTGAGTGGTGACCTGACTGAGGCCAGCGTTGCTGTAACACGACAGGGGCCTTTTCTGCCGTCCTGCTGGGTGCTCAAGTTTGTTTCACTGATTTTGATTGTGAATTGCAGGTACTGGCAAGCTGGGATTCTCTTTCGTGAGAATCACAGCCCTTCTGATTGGTGGAAATCGACTCTGGGTGGGAACGGGGAACGGTGTGATCATCTCCATCCCTCTGACAGAGAGTGAGTCTGGAATTATGTATGCGGCAAGTGACTCACAGCTAAACGTGAGATGGAAAACTCTTATCTGAAGTGGAAGTTACTTTATGTTGTCTTTGTCTCGTTTCTTAGAAATTCTGAAAAACTTGTCAACAGCTTTTGAGCTATCTTGGAATAGAAATGATAGCATAAGTGAAGAAAACAAATGATCTGAATCTACTCACACTCCACGTGAATGTTTTTAGATCTCGTCTTGCTCAGTGGTGACTGTTGGGGTTTTACTTATTCATTCACACAAGTTGAACTAAGATCACTGTTGCTCATGAGATTTCTCCAGTGTCCGGAACTCAATCTGCAGTTTTCCTTCGAAACATGGAACAAAATCGCTTAGCTAGGAGGTGGTCTTTTTGGCAGACCATGGCCCCGGCCCTCAGCAGCTCCGTTTATCTGTACTCCTCTTTAGCTTTTCCTTCTTCAACCCACACCAAATCCCTCCCTTGTATTTCTTCCCTCCCTCAGTGTTCGCACCTCTTTCTCACAGTCTTGGTCGTAACTACTGCTGTTCACTGTCCTCTTTTTTCCTACTATCCTTCCATCCTCCTCCTCTTCCGCCTCCCTAAAGCGGTGGTCCTTCACCGGGGACAGCTCCTGGGTTTGAGGGGTAAGTGGGAGTGCTCCCATCCTCCTGCTGTTGTGATGTAGCCGTTCTCAGCCAGTCAGACCTCCAGGTCTTTCTCTCTGCTCACTATGCAACAGATCAGGAGAAAGCTGAATATTTTTGGCAAAGAACATGGAAATGATTCTGTGGCACGTGTTCATTGCTTTTAACAGAGCCGGGTTTCACTTATTAGATGCTTTGCATGATATTTATCGCTGTGATTTATTGGATCTGTGACATGTCTTTTCTTTGGGACAACGCCATTGCATGCACAAGTGTTTCAAACATTGTTTCTCAGAAGAAAATCTGTTTGTTTTGTGTGTGTTGGTGTGTATCGCACCACCAAAAGTGATTTGCTGGTGAACATTTCTGACTGTGTGACTTTTCCCCCATGTGCTCTCGCTGGATCAGCCAACAAAGTGTCTCCTACGTCCTCTGGCGGGGTGATCCACGTCTACGGCGACGACGGCTCTGAGAAGAGCAGCGGCAGCTTCATCCCCTACTGCTCCATGGCTCAAGCCCAGCTCTGTTTCCATGGACACCGGGATGCTGTGAAGTTTTTTGTGTCTGTACCGGGTAAGTACAAAGTCTGACTTGCTGTTTTGGTTTAGACGTCCTTAGCTGAATTTTTAGCTCAGTTTTTAAAGGTGGAATGATTCTTCTTTAAGGGAAAAATGCATGTTAAGTCAACACATCTATGCAGAATATATTTTTCCACTTAAAAGGAGTTGCTTTTTTTTTAGGTATCCCTTGAGAAATACAGGAATACTCTGTGACTAATAACATATAATCTCAGGGGTCTAAAGAGATCTGCTTCGATACAATTTTCAGTTGCTCACAGAATGGCTGAACTGATGTTTTCTTCTTGTCTTTTTTTGTCACAGGCAATGTCCTGGCCACCCTAAACGGCAGCGTTCTGGACAGCCCATCAGAGGGTCAGAGCTCCACAGCTCCCACAGAGACTGAAGCGCAGAGTGTTCAGAACGTGTTGGTGCTGAGCGGGGGAGAGGGCTACATCGACTTCCGCATCGGTGAGCTGGAGCTGCACAGCCGCTGTCTGTCTGAGGTGTTTCTGTGGGGAGATTGAAGGGGAACTGAACAGTTTTGTTTTGTTTTCTTTTTCTTCAGGTGACGGAGAGGATGATGAGACAGAGGAAGGAGACAATGGTGGCGCTTCGCAGATGAAACCTGCTTTAAGCAAAGCTGAGCGAAGCCACATCATCGTCTGGCAGGTGTCCTACATACCCGAGTGACGCCCGGATCTGCTTTGGCACTCCGCCCATCCACCTCTTTAAAGAAATCTCTGAGCTCTCCCTCACCTTGTAACTATCCCCAGTCATGTAAAAGTTCCCCTTCGGCTCTAAACAACCCTCCAAACCTCGCATCGCCCCTTTGTAACTATTATATTCCTTCCCGCCCCGCCACCTTCTAACTTTAATGCCTTGTAAGTACCTCCTCTGATCTAGTTATCTGCCTGCCATCCTGTTAGTCCCAAACAGGGCATTGTAATGATCATCATAAGCCTTGTAACCCATCCTCAGAACTACCTCCCTCCTCTGTACTGATCTTATACTCGCCGTGTAAACACATTGTATCTCCTCCTACATTTTCCTTAATTGTTCTGCATCGACCTCAAGGGTTGTTCCACGTTTCCTTCCATTAATTTGTCACCCGTGAAAGCCCAGAGCCCCAACATGCATCGAAGACCCCCCCAAAAGAATTGAAGCGAGAAAAAAAAAGGTCAGCAGGTACGGCAACGTGAATTAAGACGCTGACTTGCATTTCCAGCAGAAGCCTGGGTTTATCGACAAGCCTATCGCCAGTCTGATAACCATTTCCACCATTAATGGACACACTCCTGTCTGGAGCTCATCAATCAGCTATCTTTGAGGGTACGTGTGTGTGTGTAAGGAAACGGCAGTCCCAGCTTTACCTTCACAGCTGGGGTTAAAGGTGAACGAGTCTGGCTGTTGAAATTTGGAAGGTGAGGATGAGCAGACACTGACAAAAAGGGGAAGTCAAAATGATGATGAGTTTTTTTGGCTGCTATCTGAAACACTTTGCATCCCATTTCTTAGTCATGTCTCTGTACGGTGTCCTGATTCAGGATGGGGTGCAGCAGCGTGCGGCTGGAAACAGCGGACACCCCACAGCACCCCGGTGTCAGTCAAAAGGTCGGCGCACGTTCATATACGGCCCAAAAGGTGGAGTTTAAGGCGTTAAGGCTTCGGTTCTTAACTCATTTCTTTCTCCGACTGGCTGTTGATCGGACGGTTTGGTGTGAAGCAAGTGAACGGTGGCATGTTACGATATGTACAGGGATTACTGTAAATCAGACACACTGAAGCCCATCCTCTTTGTTCAGTGTGGAAATTTGTGCATTGATCTTTATCTGTGAGAATTAAATATTAAACGTGTGCTGAAAGCAAACAAGTGCAACTTGGGGGATAAATATTTTAAAAAGCTTTGATTTATTGATAGGAAATTCCAGTCCAAAGCACATTAGTAATAGATAGAAGCAAATGACACTTAACCTCCTGAGACCCCAGCTTATGATGGGCATTTTTGCTTTTGTCCCATTTATGGGATTAGTAGGACCTAATAAGTCTGATATCTAGACTCTGTCATATTACAGATAGTGTTTCCCCATAAAGGGACAGAGGGTTTATCTTTGTATTTTAAATGTGTATTTATAAGTTTTCTTTGCAATTTGTTTCTCCATCCATCCATCCATCCATTTTCTATACTGCTTATTCTCAATGGGGTCATAGGGGGTTGAAGCCTATTCCAGCTGATAATGGGAAAGAGGAGGGGGACATCCTGAATTGGCCGCCAGTCCATGGGAGTAGTTTGGATCTGAAAGCCCAAATAGCTTATTTTAAATGATCTAATTACACATAAAGGCATGATTGGTTGAAAACAAGTAAAACCATGATATTAGAGTTTTCAAATATTAGTGTCTTGATAGTGTCTACCATGAAGTCAAAAGTTCAAAGTTCATGGAACAGAGGCAAAGTTGCAGTGTCCTCATGAGGAAGCAGAGTCTCAGGAGGTTGATAAAAGACAGATATCGGCAAGTTACATTCACTGCAGCTTCACTTGAAGTGGAAACTGAAACTGGAATAAAGACTGTGTGAAGTAACAATTATAAGAAGCTACATGCAGCTGACAGCTGGAAAGTGGACACTCTACATTCAAGTACTCCCGTAAGATCAGTTTTTACACCCCTGCAGCATTTAGAATTAAATATAAAGCACAAATGAGAAACTTCCGTTGGTTAACTGCCCCCATTTTAAGGGAGACGGGGTTATTACAGAGGACTTTACACCAATAAAATGTACACAAAAAGTGGGACAAAAACAAAATATGTCAGGTTCATTTCAGCCGAGCTGCTGGATACAGAAGCTGAGCCATTTTGTGCAACATCAGATTTCCAAAAGACCAGTTTATGTACAATTTAAAAATAGATAAGCAAATGCGATGCATGTCAAGTTTGTATTAGCTTTTAACAGATACTGGCAACTTTTCCAAAGATGTCTCACTTTAGAATGAGCGGAATAAACTAATGATCCTCAAACCAACCTTAGTGCTTAAAAACTGAAAATGGGACCTATTGCTTTAGACTGAGTCTTATCAAGTTTTTTGCTCCATTAGTGCACTTCTGCTTAAGTAATGCCGCCATTCATCAGACGAAAACGTAAACACAGCTGTTTTGCAAAGCAGAGATGAACCTGCCTCTCTATGTGGCCACAAACTACGGAGGCGTGGAAACATTTGTCTGATGTTTGCACTGACAGCCGAGTGAGCGCTGTGTGTGGACCTTCAGTTGATCCACTGGCGGCTGCTGCTTTCCCAGCGGTGCAGCTCGTTCTGACCAAACCAGAGGGAGATTTCCGTCTGGGCGCTCTCCACGGAGTCGCTGCCATGGATCAGGTTTCTAAGACACACAGCCAAAAGACATTCAGTAGCTCCTGAGTCACTTCAGTTATTTTCCAATACAACATGAAGAATTCCCAGGTAACGGAGAATATGTCCAGTCTGAATTCTTTAAAGCAAAAATCTTTGATCTTTATTTGCTCCCAAGGTTACTTTACAGATCACTTTATAAGAATGATTCATGTTTTAAATGAATCATTTAGAAATAATATAATCATTTCTAAAAATAAACTCTTTAATATCCTCAAATGTTCATTTACCCGAGCAGAGCAAGAGCAAAATACTAAAATATTTATGAATCTGTGAAAAGTAGTAAAATATATGTGGAAATAACCATAAAACCAAATACACCTCCAGTTTGGTCCCCAGAAAAATTGATATTAATTGATTTAATTGACTGTCACTTATATTAATCACCTCAGTTTCATCTGGGTTCACTAAATCTATCAGCTCTTACTTGTCCACTTCCACACAGTAATCTCCTCGGATGGTTCCCGGCTGCGACTCTGCAGGGTTGGTTTCTCCCATCATCTTGTGAGCGGTCTTGACTACGTCCAGACCCTGCCACACCTAAACCAATACAGGGATGCATAAGACAAGCTAACCGCCTGCAAACTGGAGGAACCACAGACCACATTACTTCATCTTAACAACAGCTTGCTTTATGCTGCCGCTGGACAGAACTGGCATTTATCGTGCTCTGTTCCCTAAAAACAAACATTAAAAAAGCCTTTAGTGTCTTATAAGAATATGGACAGCATGTTAGGGAAGCCTACCATTAAAATAACTGGTCCAGAACTCATGTAGCTTATCAGTCTGTTGAAGAACGGCTTACTCTTCAAATTGCAGTAGTGTTCCCTGAGAAGGTGCTCAGAGGCCTGGAAAACATATTCAAACTGTTTAATCACCTCCATTTCCAAGCGTCCGTACCTCATGCAGAATCTCAGGAGTGGAAGAACGAAGTGAACCAGCTGTACCTGCACGAGTTTCAGGCCCACAAGTTTGAAGCCTCTCTTCTCAAAACGGCGCACGATATCTCCCACCAGTTTCCGCTGCACACCGTCTGGTTTCACAGCTATGAATGTGCGTTCGTTCACCCCGGTCCATGCTGGAAAGTTTTTTATTCAGGCAAATGCAACTTTGAGCTTATGTGAACGGGGTCAACATACACATCAGCACATAGCAGAACTCTGACCTTCAGAAGAGGGTGTCCCTCTTATTACATTATCCTAAAAGGAGATGATCATCATTCTGCACTATCAAAATTAGTTGAACTAAAGTCAAAATGAATGGCCATTTACAACACTGAATTTATCACCTTATAATTTACAGTAATCGTTGTATAAGATCTAATGAATGTGACTGTCTCAACAGGGGATTTAAGCGTGCTGACATGAGTCTCCATTACTGACCCTGTTACCTTCATTTTCCCTAAGAGGACAGGCTGTATTTGTGAAACTGAAACTGTATAAGAGGACTGTGTTCCCTGTCTTCTATAACATTGATCACTTGTCGGGATAATCACTCAATCACACTGATGGATGAGACAGCTATGAGAGAAAATGCGAGAAAAGTCCACAGCAAACGCACAAAAACAGCAAGCTCCCATCAACTGTCGCCTTTGTCTTTCACTTTTTATGTGCAACAGCGCCTCCCCGTGGACACACATGCGTAATCCCTCGCGTTGTCCGCTAATAGTCAAAGTATAAACATGCGTCAAAGTTTACTTGTTTACGCACAGGTTTTTCCGTGATGGACATCTTGGTGCTGACGCAAAGTCAGACTGCAGCAGCGGTCCAAACGTGGAAGAAAAACGCCCTGAAGCTGCACTTTCACAGCAAATTAAGTAGCTCATTCCACACTCCGAACTATCTACGTCTCCTAATTAGCGCATCTCACCAGATTCATCGATCCGCGCGTGTTTGTGCACCAAATTTTCAATCTCGTGCAGATCCTGCTGTGACCTTTTCTTCGGCCTCATCTCGGTGCTCCGGCATCGGCAGCCAATGAGCAGCGCGAGGCTTCGCACGAGTCCAAATGTTGCCAATGGCAGCGCATAAACTACTTTAGCTAATAATAGGATGATGAATCAACTTTTCTGCTTTGCGTGTCGTTAGACAGCTAGCTGCTGTCAGCCGAGTGCTCCACAAGCTAACTTCAGGTTGAAGACATACCGTTACCGTAACAGACTAAACGTGCACGGAACGCCGGTAGGGTCGCTGGTATTAGGCACACTGCAAAGCTGACACAACCCACTGTGCTTTTGTTAAAGTTGAAAGGGCTTCGTAACACCACTGTACCAGTTTACTCTGATGTCTGCAGCTAAACCGAACAAGCGTCTGCCCGGCGTCTTCCTGGAAACTGAAAATACCAGCCGGTAAAACTAAACGCTCGTGGGCCGGAGAATTCCGGAAAGAGGATAAAACAGATAAGAAAAACCAACCTGGCTGGAAAAAGTAGGCAAAAATGGACAGAACCAGGCAAATCATTGTCGCTGGACGTCGGAGCGAAACGCTGTCCGTTTGACTGATATCAAGGAAAGAGACGTAGGCACGCGTTCACGCACGTTGCCTAGGAACGCTTCCAGAGCGCGTGCACGTGGTCAGAGAGCCGGAGAGGAGCGGCAGAAGCTTAGACAGGCGTCAATGATAGAAAATAATCCCCAAAAGCAAAAACATTTGGCTCCACAATGTCCTAAAAACGTTTTATGCCTGTACTTCTTCAGTAGTAGTATATTGAAATGTGGGCTTCCTACCACTCAAATACATAAAACACAATCTTCATGTATACGAGTGGTACATAGAGAAAATGGTATATCAAAATTATGAAAACATTCGAAGGAGGGCTGTGTGGCTTAGCTGCATTTAATCTCATACTTAATTAAGTAGCTTATGAATGACAGTATAACACAGAAGGTAAATCTTTAAATCAGCATATTACAGCTACTCCAACGTTTGGAAAACCCACAAAATGCATTACCACAGCCAGCTGGGAACATCATTCAGAAAGCCTTAGCCCAAAAGGAGAACTTCACTTTTTTTTTTTTTAAATAACGTTATAAAATTAAACTACTCTGCTGTTACAGGTCTAAAATTTCATGTACAAATAATTATTACTACCGGTACTAATAAATAAAAGCTTTACAAAACGTTGAAGATCAAATTTAATATTTAGCACATCACTCAGATACATATACATACGCAGGCATGTATCAGAAGAAAACCCATTTGAGTCCAGGAGTCTCATTTTCACACTGCGGTCCCGTTGCTCTTCTGCCTCTCTTGTTCCTGTCTGCGGAAATAGTCTTTGTTGAGCAGAACATCCCTCTTTAAAGGCAGGGTGGGCTCCTCCACCACTGTGCTTCCCCCGGCTTTGCGGTGCTGGGCCAGGAGCATGGCGCGGAGCAGGGGCGGGTAGGGGACGTATTGCACAGGGGGGTCGGGGAGGGGCTCAAAGTCCTTCAACTGGTGTTCCATGTGTTTGGGAACCAGGCGCCAGTCGTGGTACATCACCTTATCCATCTCCTTCACGTCAACTTCCTGTTTTCCTGTTTTGTATGATGTGTGTGAAAACAATAATAACTTATTATTCATTCAAATACAGTAGACTTCTTCAATCTAATCCTAATAATAATCCCCCAAAAAGAAGGTGCTCAGACAATAAACTGCATAATCCTCAAACATAATGAACAGCTCAACAAACATTAGCACAGATGTGATTCCCTTCAGATCTGTTAGGGCAGTTTTAAAATACTGTTGAATACATAACAACAATGTTCGTAAATGATGCCTAATTTCAAGAAACGACTGAAGTCTGGTTTTGAATTTGTCTAACAGTACCTTTATATGTGAGGATGCCCCATGCTCTGCCATGGTCCATGTTCTAAAAAACACAAGAGACACCATGTACTTTGATCATAGGATTTACAGCAAACAATTTTTAGAGAGACAGAAACCACAACATTGTGATTGATTTTTAATTTATCGTTCAACTGAGAAACATAAATGGCATTAAATAACAAAAATAATTATTCAGTACAACACAATTAATTACCTTTACTGGACACACTATCCCTCATGTACAACATGTCATAAATATTATGGAATCATCACAATTAGGGGAAGTTTATTCGGCTCAAATACGATATGACAAAAATATAATGTAAGTTATACTTTAATGCCTTTTTTGGTTAAGAAAGAAGGAAAAATAATGAAATCACTTGGTTTCTCTGAAAAAAGACACAGGCCCAAAGAAAACAATAAATAAATCATCAGCTATTACACTGAGTTTATGACCATGTCATATATCAATTACAATTTGTTTTAATTTCAGCCTAAACAACACTGAATGTGGTTATTTGTACCATAACAATGCCAATTCAATTGCTCTAACTTATTAGATCTGTACCTGCTTTGTATCCACCTGAAATGTATGCCAAGGAAAAAAAAACTTCTCTAATATAAGAAAAAAAATTAGAACCAAGTTTTAATTGGCGTTTACATAGTTTCACGTCTGCTGGCACAGACTTAGCATTGTCCTCTCACCTCAGATGTGTAGTCCACCTTGACCTTTGTGATCTGCCAGTAGCTGGGCTGGGGGTGGTCTTCCAGCCAGGACTTGCGGGTGAATAAACGGCCAACTCCAAAAAGCCTCATGCCAGCCAGTAAGGAAAAGAGGCGGCTCTCCCTGCGAACATCCTGCCAGGCCAGCACTGGCAGCATCTTCCCCGTCAGAGGCCGCCGCATGGTGTCGTAGTCCAGGGCGTACTTCTGAGACTCTCGCGGCCGTGACTTCATCTCTCGGTACGCCCGGATCTTACGAGCCATTTCTGCAATGAGGCGCAGCCTCCTCTTCTTCGCCATGACTGAGCAGCGTATTACAAAGATCCAACAGAACCTTCACACTGATCCACGATGTTCTGAAAACGGAGAGTATTATTACATCTACCCGTAGAGAAATCACACAAGAGAACTTACATAAACCTGTCAATACAGCAGTCAGGATACACACAGTCTGAAGCCGAAAGCTAGCTCAATGCTTAAATAAAACCATATAAAAATCGGTTCAAAGATTGCTCGGATATTGACGACTCTGTGTGAATATTTCGACAACCGTAACAACATGAAAAAGTCAATTTTGCATACCTTAAAGGCTTAACAGCCCTGGATAACTGCACTGCAACTTGACCTCCACGAGCAGTAAGAAAGGTAAACAACTTCCGCCCAACTGGTCCAAAAGAAAATAGTTCCGGGTAAAATGGGTCCGGGGGAATAAAACCTGAAATTAAACTACAAATGCAGTCTTTTCGTAATACATTTTAATGTTGTAACTGTCATTATATATATGTCTATATAAAGCAATGTGAGGAAAAGCCAGAGTTGAGGTTAAAAAATACCCTCCCAAAATTATTTTCAAAAGCTTTAAAAATATCAAACTATTGAGACATTTGTAAATGGATGTTGATTTTTGTTACAGAAAAATTAACATTTAGTTTTTGAGGTTATAATCTACACTGTCCAAAAAACTGTCCACCATGGGACACCAGCATAGATGCCAAACATTTTCCTCTAAATCTGTGAAAAACTGAGCTTTTAGTGAACCGTTTTAAATGTGAGGCTATCTAAATGTTAGATTAAAGAAGGTTTTACAAAAAAAAAAAAGGTTTTCTATTTTACAGCTCATTTAAATGATCTTCTGTCATTCTGATCTCGTTGATTTATCATGATATATTATATTTTTGATTGGGAAGATTTAAAAAATATTTATGAAACTACCTTTACAAACAATTATATATTAAGGATATGTCTTTTTGTTGGGGCTGGCACCACAAGCTTTAGGACTTTGCTACCAGTTCTCTCCACAAGGGTTTATAGGAAATTGTCATTACAATGACAAAAACGAGGTAATTTGAACAAATCACAGAGAAACATGATTTGCCTCATCTGCTATAGGCCAACCTCCTGATAAAACTGCATAGCTATCATCAAATCCACTGGGTATATTTATTTCAACACCTGCATAAAGGAAACAATACCAATTTATTATACCAATATAATTTAAACTCACAAACCTTTTGTTTACACTATAATCTAATCTTTCTTTGACAATTCAAGAGATTAAGCATCTGTAACATCTGTAATTCATCAATTACAGGTAAAATTAAAATAAAGGTTATAATTTAACATAAAACACAGTTTATTCGTGAAATTTAATGTTTTCTGTTACCAATTTGGATGCAATGTAATATGTAATGCTTTTTTAAATGTTATTTCGGTTTATTTTTTATTATTTTGTTTAAAGTTTTTTTTCAAAGGCAGAACTTGTATTAATCTTAAAGGGAAATATTTAAATAAAATAAATGTATTAAAGCTTCAGTGAATTTAATGGGCTGAAAACTTCCTGTGAAGGAGCGTGATGTGCCGCGAGCTCCTCCTGAGTTGGCTGGAATTGTTTACGGTCACACTGTTGGAAAGTAGGTCATGTAAAACCGAAAAGAAGCGAACCGTTTGCCTAGTACTGGTCTTTTTTATTGTCTAGTAATAACTCAAAGTCAAGGAACAACGAGCCTGCGGTGTTGTCAGGTTCGTGTGATGCTAGTGGTCAACAACTGACAGGTAAGGTAACGCCATCCTTTTATGTACGGTTGATAGCAGGAGGCAGCTAACAACAGCTAGCATTGTCAGCTAGGTCCTGTCAGTTTTTGCTAATTCGTAAAAGGGTTTTACCCACTACCTCTACGCAAAGTAATATACACAGTAAATTAATCAAGTAATTCAGCTATTATATCTCTCTGTTGTTTTAGTATTCTAACTTTTTAATGCTAACAAGATTCAGCAGGTTGTTTTCGAAGAGTTAGCTTGCATTAGCTTCTCGTCTTAGCAAGGTTGTGGCTAACTGAAGCTAACTAGAAGAAATTCGCGCATTACATCTTTATTCCCTCTTCATTCTATATGCAATTCATGGTTCGTGTAAAATAATAAGACTGTATTACTTTTTGATGTCATTGTTACCTTATAAACACTGGAAGTTATGTGTGTTGTGGTTATCGCAGCCTTAAAATCCAGTGCGACGAAAATGTCAGTTAACATGAGTCTCTCTGGTAAAGTACAGATGTAAACAGTTCTATAATTGTTGGTCAGGTAAAAAAAAGCGACTTATTTAGAAAACTAGTGAAATCATTTTTGTTGTTTTCTGTCTTGCATTGCATTTTTGCTGTCTGTGTGTTTGTATGGTCATTGCAATTCTACATTCCTCTTAAAATGTTTTGCAGTATATCTTAAAGGCAGTTAAAACGAACAGGATCACTTTGTTTGGAACCCCTCCCTCCCCACACACACACACACTAAGTCACATCATAATTTGTTGACAAGAGTGTACACTTGAGTCATGGCAAAAACCTGCAGGGTATGTGCAGTGTTAAAAATAAAAAAGAACACAAAGAAGCACTTTAAGAAAAGCCTTCGCTGTCAGACGCTGTTATATTCTGTGGTATGTTTGAAAATGATCATGTTGTTCCATTGTCCTTAAATAGGTGGACTGATGCTGCTCGTAAAACGTCTGGATTAAAGACGTGAATAATTGGCAAGCTATTCCACCTGCGAAACTCTGCGGCCGCCATGTCCAGACGAAGCCGAAACAGTCGCGCCTGGCGATATGTGTGGGGTGGGATACGGCGGGATGCTGATGCCCGCGCCCTCGTTTTGGCCTCTGAAACTGAAGACTGGGGCTATGACCGACTAGAGGTACATACTCATTACTTGTGGGAACATGTTGCCGACTTTATGGCTTGGATGGCTTAGGTCCAAGATATTGTCACTTGGAGGTCAGCCTGCTCTACACACAAACACATTTAGTAAGAACTGTAGCATTCAGAACAAGATTTCAGGTCAAAGGTCCTGAGCTTTTTGTTCCAAAGTAAAGCACTAAACTATTCCTCTTGCACGGCATATCACCAGGCTAGTATTAATAACAAGCCTGTTAGTCTTGAGCTGTAAAAATTGAGAAATGCGTCAGTCTTTGAAGCACAGAGCTCAGTTTGTCCCCTATTCGGTCTGACATAAAACCTCTGCTTTGGAGTTACACAATCGGTGCAACTAATGTTGAAATTAGCTGTTTGTTGTTTTGTTTTTTAATCTTTTGCTCTAAAGTACAGTGATTCGGACTCGGAGGCGGACTTTTCAGCGGTGATGGTTCCCCCAGTTCCCAGTGCTGTGCCTGTGACAGGAGAGTCCTACTGTGGCTGCGATTCCCAGGCTGAGACCAGCTACAACCCCCACATCCGAGCTTTTCACCAGGTTAAGGATTGTCACTGTGGAGAGGATGACCAAGGTACAAAACAGTGGTATAAGAAGCAAATGTGTCTCAAACAGTAGCGTTTTTTTCTTCCAACTCTTGTTACAAAATGGCATCACAAAGAAAGTAAGAATAAAGGTTTTTGTGTGATCAACATTGATACTTATATCACTGGCTTATTATAGATTTGGTATTTCAGATTTCGACTGGGTGTGGGATCCCAGCAGCCGATCAACAGCAACTCTACTGAGCTGCGACAATCGCAAGGTGAACTTCCACTCTGAATACAGCTGTGGTACAGCTGCAATCCGAGGTTCCAAAGAGCTGGCTGACGGACAGCACTTCTGGGAGATTAAGATGACGTCTCCCGTGTATGGAACAGACATGGTAAACTTCCAGCCTCTGCTTCTTTATAGCAAATTGCTATAAAAAGAACAAACCATAAACTAGCAGTGACATATTTATGTCTCAACAGATGGTTGGCGTTGGGACTTCCGATGTCAATCTGGATAAATATCGGCATACATTCTGCAGCCTGCTTGGAAAAGATGCAGACAGCTGGGGTCTTTCTTACACTGGTAAGGTGCAAAGAAGGTGTTGTGCTTTAACAGTAACTGTTTAAGGCCTCTTTCTTTTTGTTTTTGCATAATTATGCATGCTTTTCCAGGTTTGTTGCATCATAAAGGTGACAAGACCAACTTCTCCTCCCGATTTGGACAAGGATCCATCATTGGAGTTCATCTTGACATGTGGCACGGCACGCTCACTTTCTTCAAAAATCGAAAGTGTATAGGTTAGTACAAAGTCTGCCATTGTTTAGTGTAACTTGAATTGATCATGTTTATGTTCTATTAAAGTAAAAAATGTTTGATAGATTACATGCTGGTTAGCAAAGGGGATTAGCCATCTGGCTTCCTAATCTGTTCCTTAATAAAACCCCAGAAGCGAGTCAGTGGGGGTTTAATTAGATCTTATTCATGAGATAAAAAGCTTTTAATCTGCAGTTTTAAAAGGAAAACATTGTTTCCATATTTGTACTATGTATTTACAGTTGCTCTTTAGAAATTCCGAGCACAACTCTAAATCTTATCTGCGAAAGGCTCAAACGTGCCTTTCGCAGATAAGATTTTACAGGTTTAAGAGTCCTGCTGTGACCTCAGAAAAGGATTGGAAAAGGCATGTTTAACTGTGGTGTTTTTTGTTATCCAGGCGTTGCAGCCACAGAGCTCCACAATAAGAGGTTCTATCCGATGGCCTGCTCCACTGCAGCCAAGAGCAGCATGAAGGTGATCCGGTCCTGCTCGGCGCCCACCTCCCTGCTCTACCTGTGCTGCGCCCGCCTCCGCCAGCTGGTGCCAGACTGTATAGACACCCTGGATGTGTTGCCCCTGCCACCAGGCCTGCGTCAGCTGCTCCACAACAAACTGGGCTGGGTCCTCAGCCTGAATGGCAGCGCCGCAGGAGAAACCCCGGACGGGCTCGAGCAGACGGCCCACCTGCCCGGCGCCCCCTCGGCCGCAGCATCCCTCTCTGAGAGTGACTCGGAGGGCTGCGCGTCCGATCCCGAAGCCTGCCAGAGGAAACGATGCCGCTGGACGTGACTGGACAGCTTGAATCCTACCTCCTGTTAAACACTGGTAGACATTTCTGTCCCCACAGCGTCCCGCGTGGGGGTGGCCTACTTGCCTGGAGCTGTTTTCAACACCAGTGTTCTTCAGTAGAAACTAAATGAGAGGGAATGGTTAAGCAGAGGGAGCGGCGCGGTGCCGAAAAACTGCCCGTTCCTGCCCGCACATTCTTACTGTGATCTTTTCTCATATCATCCAGACATCGTCACGTCGCCACACATTCGGCATCCAAACCAGTAAGGTCACAGGTTCAGAGCAGGCATTGTCATCATAATAACTAGCATCATTCGTTGCCATGCGTGTTCGAGGGTCAGTGACGTGCAGGGATGTTATGTACAGTGTAACACTGACGTCAGGTAAGGCCAAATTTTGATGGTCATCGTGTAATATTTGCAAGACGCCGGGGGGGGGGTTCTTTTTTCTGTATTCTGTATGCAATTGACGTGTTGTTCCGAACCCTAAACCTTATCAGTACGTCACCAAAGTGGTCTGTTAGCCCTTTTATTAGCGTCTGTATCCCCCAGTGTGAACCAGTGTTTATTCTTTACTGAAGCTAACATTTGAGCCTTCAGAATTCTACATGTTACAAGCAGGTGAGACAAACCTGCACGCACTTTTAGGCTTTAAGTCTTCGAAGAACGAGAAAATGTCCTTTTGTCTGTCACAAAATCTGAATACTGTGTAATTTAGGCCTCTGACTGCTCAGATTACTGAGCAGCATTAATGTTTTGTAGTGTAGCTCTTTTAATTCCAATCACAAGAGAAAAGCATGTCACTCTGACAATCTTAAGTAACTTTCCATTGCTGTTACAATTTATTGTTTGTTTTTTTTAAGCCTTTTTAACAAGTGACTTTCTATGCCAATAGTTTTATTGTTAAACCTTTTCTACTGATCTGTTGATGCAATGCTTTTTTGTTTATCCTTCTTTTTTCCTTTTTTTTCCTTTTAACTCTGGAAGACTAAAGGTCTACTCTGATTCCTTTGCCGTACCATCAGCAAGCAGAAAAAAGTACTAAAATATTCAAAGAAATTCCGGAAACTAACAGGTCTTATCCACTCCTCTGTGTTCAGTGTTTATTCCTAGTATATTCATTTTAAGCATTCAGTCATTATCTCCCAATATGGCTGCAGATGTAAAGAAAAGGTTCGTAAACCCTCTGGAACCCAGAGGACTTGTGAACCTAAAGCTCACAAAATGTTGTTCGAACTTCATCAAAGTCTCATTTTGTTCACTAATCTTCTCCCTAATAAATTAAGGACTCAGCAAGTGTGTGTTCTTTTCTTTGTCTACAGTAAAATGTGGATGGGTGCAGGCCACTAAAGTATACGTGACAAATTATTAATGCTTATGTCGCTGATACACCAAATAATCCGATCAACCACTGACATGTTCTGTCTCCTCACTGTTTGAAGAAATGAAGCGAAGGGTGTGAACAGTCCTGTCCAGCAGAGGCCTCCACAGACAAGTGGCACAGCACCATATGTCACAGGCGTGTGCAGCTTCACACAGGATCTGTGAGGACCAAGTCTTTCTCAACATTTGTCCGGCCATCTGCCCGCAAGTTGATACTTATTTCTTTGCCTTGTTCTGCTAAATCCAGGAGATTTACTATTTTTCCAGTAGTTTCTGTTGGCTCTGCTGCCTTTTGTCGGTTTGTCTTGGTGAACGGTGGCTGATGGTGAGGCCCCTGTCTCTTAGTGTACTCTATTGTCACCCTGCATGCTTTTGATATCTGAAAAAAAACAGTGTTCCGACAGGGAGGGCTTAGAGAAGCCCCTCAGCCCTGACTGTCTTTGGCGTTAACTGAACACTTAAGTAATCTGCAGGCACCAAAATCTGCAACCTCAGATTTTTTTCTCTTCTTTTCCTCAAACATTTATGTAAGCGGGTAAAAGCTTTCTTACAGAGTGGAGAAGTGAACCCTAAAATTCCTTTCAGAACTAGAAAAGATGCATGTCGAGGTCCGTCTGAGCTCCTCTGTGTGCAGAGGTTCTGACACATTGACTGACAGAGGCCTGAGAGAAAAGAGCAGTGACACATGTTAGCTCTCTGACTCTCACACATAAACCTCTATCATCAACACTTCCCCTGCAGCGTTACTGGACCATGTAACTGAATGTTCTGTTACACACAGAGCGCATTCAGAGCCAAACACACATTCAAATGTGTCCTAAAGCTTAGACAGATTGACATTTGTTATCTGCACATTTGGGGAAAACGGCTGCCATCAGCATGGATTTAGTCTCTGCACACTGATTCTCTCTGCTGGGAAGTTTTCACTGTAGTGTCAATACAACACAAACTATCTACCCTCTGCTACAGGAACATTTAAATGTATTCAGAGTAGATCATCTGAACAAATCTGAACAGATCTCAGAAGCCTGAGGGGAGCCCTCTGCTGTTCATCTGTTGTCTCTCTGCTGTTTTTACAGTTTTACAGTCGTGGCATTCCTTTCTCTTAATACTTTGCTGTAAACTCGCTGGCCAGCCTCCAGAACCTGTTTTCTTCAAATATTGGGCCAGAGGTGACAACATGTGGGAGTGATTGAACAAGAGAAGCAGATTGGAGGGCTCCTTCAGCCCTGCTGCCCACAGCTGGCTTACAGATGTGTGGAGACTCAACACAAACACTGGATTTGTTTTTCCTGAAACGCAGACACCGTACAGATATCTGCTGAGTATTTGTTAGAATTCACCTTCCGCAGGCCCATCTGCTTCTTGAAGAGGTCTGAAAACTCTTTCTTTCTCTTGACGGAGTCCTCTTCCCCGCTGCCCGCCTCCTCCTCATCGTGCCTGCGTGTTGGGACATCGTGTTAGTCAGCTGTCGGTGTTCAGAGTGGGCTGGATGCAGCCTGCAGGCAGGTTAAAGCGGGACACTTCACATCCACATGTCACACAACGTCACCGCACTGCTCCTGCCTTTCAAATCCGTATCCCTTCTTCCCTCCCTCGTACAGGCCCGGCAGGAAGCCGAAGGGCCCTTCTTTCTGAGCGGCCTGGCTCCTGGTGCTGAGGGCAGACGCTCTCTCCAGCTGAGCTCTCACAGCTTTGGGGTTCCGGCAGCAGTCGCAGGCTCCTGCACAGTTGGGCCTCTGGTCCCCAAAGAACTTGGAGATGGCCGCATGGCGACAGCTGGGGGGGGGGAGACAGGACACTTTTGAAATCTGACAACACAGAGACGAAAGGCTTCCTGATACATGAGGGAATGTTTTTTAGCTGCCGTGGCTCCATCATAACAGACCTGCTGCTGCATCGACCCCTCAGCTGTTGTGTTACATCACAGACAAACACAATCAATGTTTCTGTTACGAATAAGTCACCAATCTCTGTCTCATCCCACAGAAAAATGTTCAGGTTTCTACCATGCTAATCTACGACATCTTGACTTCTATAGCCAAGTCGCCTTTTTCCCCACAAACTTTTCTCCTAAAATCGCTGATTCAGCTGTGCTCTGACCGTCTGTGGTATAACGAGGCCGCTCTCATATCAGAAGCAGTGTTACATAACCGCTGATGCTCACACCAGCTCACACCCTCAGAGCCTGTGTGGGACCCAGCCCATCGGCGGAGCCACTTCTGCAACATGCTGCCTGCCGTTCTGGAGGTGGAAACTCTGTGTGAAGGAGGAGGGGAGAGGGGGGAGGCACACAGAGAGGCAACACTCACTCCCAGGAAGGGAGTCTAACAACACAGCTTTTGAGGCAGGCAAAGAAAAGTAAGACACACACAGAGAAGTGCTGTGTGTGTGTCTCTGGCTGAAAAACACCAGAGAAGAAGACAACAGCAAAGCTGGAAACGGAGGAAAAGAGAAGAGGAGAGAAAGATTCCCTTTTAGAGAGCAGAGCATTTTCTCTTCATGCACTTTTTTTTACACCTGTCCTGAGGTCACAGAGTGGCTGTCGTCAGTTTTTAGACAGAGATCCTCCGTCCCTAACCTCTGACGGCGGGCCAGAGCTGCCCTCCTCTGAGTGACGCTCTGCAGCCACCAACAAACAAGAGGCTCAGCAGGCGACTCGTCTGGGAACAAACGCCTCCTTCCTCACGTCTGCTCCTCATCTGCTGGATTAGTCATTTCTGACACTGTCTGAACGAGGCTGAGCGGGAAAACAGCAGCACCTCTCACAGGTAAATGATTTCAGTGTGTGTGTGGACGAGCAGCATTTGGCAAAAGGTGAGGAATGGAAGTCCAGACAAGGACTTGTAATCCAGCTTGACCTTTTCCCATCTGCTCCTCATCAGGATGGACGCCAGAGAGGAGGCGCTGGGCCTCCTGAACTCGATATGGCGACAGGCTCTGCCCAGCGCCCACCCCGTGGAGCTGGGAGCCTTCTTCATCATCTTCATCTTCATGGGTGAGTGTGTGTGCTGCGGCCGGTTGGTGGTGTGGTTTTCAGAGCCGCTGACCGTCACCCCTGTGCTCTGCCTCAGTCTTGGTGCTGCTCATGATGCTGCTGACCTGTGCCAGCTGCTGCTGCTGCTGTGGCCACAGGACCAGAGCAAAGCAGCCAGAGGCATGAGGGGATGTCCACACAGCCGGGATCCCCCTGACCGCCTGTGGACTCTGGACTTAATGGCATCTACAGACAGGGAGATGCTTTAAAGCAGGACGTGGCTCTTTAGAGAACAAGGAGCCAAATGAAGCTGAGCTCCTTCTCAGGAGTCCTGACCGCGTTGGGTGTAGACTGAGAATGGCCGTCCCTTAGAGAACAAAGCCTCTGACAGACACGGAGAAAGAGGCGCTGACGGGCTGCCCAACAGGCCGGCCGGAACTGCCAGGCTTTCAGGATGGTCAGCATTCCTGGGAGCATCCCTGCCCTCTGCAGAGCAGCAACAGCACCTGTGGCCTGAGGAGGAGGCAGCGTCCAGCCTGGCTGCCTCTTAGACACAACCTTCAGGATCAGACACAGCTAGTCATTTAGGACCCTGAGCTCTGAGGACAGATGCCTCTTTTTTCTATAAACGTCTTTAAAATTGTCACTGTGAGGGAAGTGGACGTGACAGCTGTGCATTCAGTCAGTGACATTCTTCAAATTGTTTTTAAATCCTCTGAAGAAAGACTGGTTCTTAAAGCTGAACGCTCTTCTTGATAATAAAGTGGAGCTGAAGCAGGAGTCTGCCCTCTGCTGTCCAGACACTGAAAGGACTGCAGAGCTGTTCAGGGCAGAAGGTGCTGGCAGTCCTGGTTCTGTCTGAATATTCTGGAAAAACCTGACGCTTTGACTTCCTATCCTGTCACTTGTTCTGATTTATATGCAGAGACTAAAAACAACTTCAAAATAATTGCCTTTAACTTGGTGGTGGCCTATTCCTCTCTTTGTCTAATGTCTAATATGTTGGATTCAAGCAATGTTGTCCTTTGGAGAGCGCCCAATTCTTTCGGACTCTGTGGTAGCCTCAGCTGGTGGTCAGGCTGGTCAGGAAAGCCACCTGCTGGACACTGTGGAGCAGGAGTGTTAGGGACAGGCTGTGCAGCCCTCCAGCAGCTCCATCAGCAGCAGTATTAAACCTTTATCTTGATTAAAATGGGAGTTCAATTCCAATTTGGAGTACCGGTAAATGATAAAGCACACGTTTGCCATCCGTCCATCTTTATCAGTATGTTGTCTAACTAAATGACGTTTAAAAGCCATAACCTGATGCCCCCAGCACGGAACAAAATCAGTATTAACTGTCCAAGGTGTGTATGAAAAAGGAACGCAGGCATATTCTGGAGGAGGTTGAGTTTTATTTGGAAATCTGACAGGCATGGCTGAACAGTGAGCTCTCACTTTAAACAAAAACAAAATCAATACAGCAGCACTACAGGTAAACGATACTAGTGTCTGAGAATGTCATATTTAACATAAATCCACTTGCACACATTATACACTCAAATCTCTCACGCACACACATATGTACACACACATACACACTCACACTCCATGTGAGCATGTGGACGTCCTCCATTAATAATCACACTATATCCAGAGGAATTCCAAGCACTTAGAACAATTACCCACAGTGCAATTCATCTAACTATACACAGATAATTTATATATTTTATGTATATAGGGTATTCAATAAACATTATTCCATTTAGACAGTTTGAAAATCTTCATAGATTTCCATAAATAGTGAAAAAAAAATCTGATTAAAAAATGGTCCCTAAAAAAAAAAGAGCATGGCAAAGAAAACACGAGTGAACACAATTTTTCAGCAGTGTCAAAAACAGGAAATGACAATCAAAAACCACCAACAAAAGGATGAAAATCAAAGGCGAGGTGTGGGCGGAGGGGGGGTAAACGCTGATCTTCACACTCACAGCACAGACTGGTTACTACATTTACTGGGGTTGGGAGGACTCTGGATCACTGTACAGTTTAAGATTCGACAGTATATCAGGCAGACTGTCCACACATCATCTCACAACATACAGTACATGTTCATGCCCGTTCTGTACGCACAAGACCTGACACAACTGGATGGCTTTAAAAACAATATGGAATAGATCACATCTACTGAGGACAGAGCTGTCAAAGGCGACCGCCGACGTCTTTCTGTTGCCATCCCTTCCTGTCAGACCCACAGCGTGCCATGGAAGAAGGTGAAAATCTCCTATTTGTTCTTGCTGCTTTGATGTGGAATGGATGAGATGGTGTTTGATGGACACACTTATTTTGTGGACAGGATGAGGGCCACGATGAGCCCGTAGAGCCCCAGCACCTCGGCGAAGATCAGGATCAGGATCATGCCCACGAAGAGCCGGGGCTGCTGGGCGGTGCCTCTCACGCCGGCGTCGCCCACGATGCCGATGGCGAACCCGGCGGCCAGCCCGCTCAGGCCCACACTCAGACCGGCCCCCAGGTGCAGGAAGCTCCTGGTGGACGGGAGCAGGTGAGGGGTTAGTTTGTGACGCTGCCAGGGAAATGCTGACAGCACAACGCTCCCATCAGGCTGCCAACGGACAGAACTTTTTCTGTGTTGTTTTAAAAAAATTACCCTGGAGCAGGAAGCCCGCTTACTTGTAAAGGCTGACTCTCTCAGAGATGTTGTTTGCTATCAGCACAGCTACCACCAGCCCGTAGATGGCGATGATACCAGCCATGACCACGGGGATGATGGACTTCATGATGAGCTCTGGCCGCATCACCGACATGGCGGCGATGCCTGTGCCGCTCTTTGCCGTCCCATACGCCGCTCCTAACGCTGGGGAGAGATCAGAGGACCTGTCAGCACGACTCACACACCCTGGGGTTTTATTTTGAAACAAAAATTACCCAAAATATATCCAGTGAGGAGGCTCGGAAACGAAACATGACAAGATGTTTAACAGTATTTGCAAGTCATTTCCGCTCAGAGCACATCTGAGGGCTGAAAACAGAAACGGTGATAAATGGCTGCAGTCTGAGGCTCTGCTACGCACGACGCCGCTCTCTTCAGATCCAAACACCGTTTTCAAGATTTATACCACAGATGGGAGCTTCCTCTGCACTGCCGTCAGCCTTTTAGCCACCAGGGACCCGTCATGCTCATTACAAAATTCTAACAGTTTCTGGAGTACACGGTTCATCTCAAAGACGGGGTCTCTACTCTGTACCTCTGTCATCATCTCCAACTTCTGTCTGCTTAAGTAGTCACCTTAGTTCAGCAGCATGTGGAGCCACCACACAAGTCCTGCTCTGCTAAATGTAGAAATGATTAGGATTCCAACTGTGGCCATGAGGTGTAAAGGAAAAAGCACCAGCTTTAGCTTTATTTTTAAACTCGATATCGTCGGCAGAGCAACTGTGTGTGACTGCGTCTGTCATACTGATTCTTTTTTCTGAGAAGAAAAACTAAAAACCATACTTTAAGATGTGAGAACACTCCTTTTCCCCTGTACTACTTGAGGCTACGCTGAATCCCTGTGTCACCAGGCTGCCTGTTTAAAATGGCTGCTGTGTAAGGAGTTCTGTATATCAGAGATATGTTGCAGGGAACTACTGCATCTGCACATTGTCTGCATCATCTGGACTCCAGCCTCTGAGCGTGCGTCAGGCCGGTCTGCGGTCACTGCTCCTGCACAACGCAGCCTGACGCAGCTCCAGAGGGCCTCTGTGTTTCACAACCGCAGACACGACCAGACATGTTCTTGGTACTAAAGAAGCAACCAACACAGGTGGTCTGAATATTTATAAGAGCGCGGATTCGTGACTAAAATAAATGTATGAAAAGCTCTCTCTGTTCTTTTTCCCAGCTTGGTTTTAGTCCAACATCAGCGGTCCTTTCCTGGCCAAACATTTTCCAGAAGTCCATCCCTAAAGATCCTGACTCGTGCAGAGGAGGCGGTCTGAGACACACACTGTGCCGGCCTCATTTGATTCTTAGGGGGCCAGTTTGTGCATTTAAAGCCACCATCACTGCAGAAAAAACAGAGTCACTTTCACCTTCTGCAGTGTGTGTCCACACAGAGCCTCTCCAGCTTGACCCAAAAAAGAAGAGCAGGAATATGCTTTATTTTAATTTGCCAGCAAAAACACATCTTACTTGATGTATCTAATTAGTTAGTTAAAGTATGAAGCAGGAAAGTTTTAGTGGCTCTCTTTATCAGGCCATAAAGTCTCCAACGGTCCAAATGAATGAGTTATTTCTATTGAGCAGTTGCTGCATCAATAATTCAACTAAAAATGGGAGTGAAACACAGCAAAATAAGTTGAAAAGAAAGTTAGAAAGGGTTCATCTCACAGGGTACCGACTTAAGTTTTCGAGCCCTTTCAAGATCCCAGTATTTCTGCACTTACACAAATTCACACCTCATTACTTTATGATTAAAGAATCTTCAGCAGCATTGACGGCCTCAAGTTTCCTCTGAAATCATCCAGTCTCGACACACCTCATCCAGTGAGGACTTTCAAAATCAGGATCACACTGTGACTGTCAAATTTCCAGCAGGGCTTTCCCTTGCAACTTTTTGGATGATTAGGGCACCCTGTTTTATCGGAGACTGCAGCTAAAGACGAAAGGCCGGGCTGTCTTAGAGAAGAACATCTGACATTTAGGAACAGCTGTCACTGTAAGAGTCTGGTGGCTGTCCCAGCTCTCTGCCTCAGAAGTCTGTGGACAACTCTTCAGCTTCACAGTTATTCCAACTCTGACTCCATCCACCAAATGGGGCAGCGGGTCCAGCCATTCAGTTAAAAGAGGAGTCTACCTCAACAGCTACCTGGACACAGCTGGTGCAGATCAGGACAAATAGGTAGCTTGTTTTCTAAATGTAGACATGAAACACACAACTCCGGTGGATATAATTAGGGATGCTGCTACTGGACGATGGCCAGGATCTCACTAATACACATTAAAGATGGTTTCTCTGCCAATGTCATTGGACAAAGTTATATTTACCATCACTGGACTCAGGCAGCAGGGGTCATTGGCTCATTCTTTTAGCTAAAGCAATTCATTTAGTTTTCTTAGCTAATTAAAAAAAAACAAGTCAAATAAATATCCAGCAAACTCACAGACACAGGTGCACTGGATAACGCTTAAGGTAGCCCTCATTTAATCAATTGGATTATAACATACAAATTTTAATTTTGAAAAAATTTCATAAGACAGAGAAGGAAAAAAATCAGCAAAAAGGAATTCATTTCAAATGTATCTGATTAAAACCAGAGGTTTGGTTTGCTCTCTGGCAGAGTGAAATCGTGATGGTTAACGTAAGGCAGGCAGGGCAAAGCATGAATGAATGGATGACTAAATGACCGGACTGGCCCTTTAAATTCTCCTGCTGATGCTGAGGCCTCGGTGCTGCCGCTCCTGTCTTACCTTCACTGAAACCAACTAAATCCGATCAAAAATAACCACCTTTTTAGCGTGACTCACTGCGGCCCGTCCAGCGGTTTATATCAGCTTGATGTTAGCAGATTACACATGGCCTGGCACAGAAAGCCGCCTCCCCGGTACTGGCCTGCGTCACAGCCCAGCACCGACCGGGAGACGCGGCTCCAGCCTGAACATGGTGGAAGCTGGTTCTCCCACGCGGGGAGGCATCCCCCGAAGCGGCCCCGGGAGCACACGCTCCGCGGCCAGGTGTCGGACGGACCCTGCCCCCGCCTCCCCTTTGCATCCCCCGGCAGGTGGACGAGCGGTGACCGCCCCAACGAGCAACGCGCCCGGTTTCTCGGTTTCTCGCTTCTTTTTTTTTAACATGGTCGCACGAGTTCGGAGCCTGGCGAAGCTAACTCGACGTTTATGTCAGTGAAACCGAGGTGTCAGATGAAGAGCTTGTGTAGTTACCGCTGAAGACCATGGCCGCGGAGGCTCCCATCACAGCGAAGAAAGGCGAGTACTCGGGGCTCTCCTCAGAGGACATTCTCGCGCTTCTCTAGGGACGATAGAGCTACAAGACAAACTATCTTCTTTATTAGGGTTCCCCTATCCCACCGTCTGCGGCTACCAGTTTAAATCACTGTGAGGGGGGCGACAGTGTCACTGCCAGCTAGAGCACCGGTGTGGAGGAGGAAAATGGCGATACGGAAAAAGTCACATGATCAACCATCTCGGGGAAAAATCCAATTTTGCTGACGCGGGGGACCTGGAAACAGAAATAGCTGATAAACGTCATCCCCACTCGCGTTCATTCTACCCTAAAATGACACCTAAATGCATTGGGTTTTGATGATAAATTCACCATTTATTACAAATTGTAGTTATTTATGGTAAAATAACGTTTTGCATGAGAGTTTTGTACAATTATTCGGTTTTGGTATGTTCTGCTGCAAGTGTACCTACTGCGGTTGAAACGCTAGTCGTCCGTACACGCTGCTGTAGTAAATAAAGGATATATAATGCTAAACAAAATTAAGAACAAACAACAGATGCGCTCTATAATTTGAAAATACAGACATTATTAAATCAGAAATTGTTCCATGTGATGGTTGGACAAGCAAGCTGGAGACACAACCTGGGCTTGCTTTGGTCAAGGTGACACTTATATGAAAATGAGTGTTTCTCGTGTCAGCTAAAGGAACATTACGCCTCACTTGTCTTCCTTTAGTTAAACTTTTTAAATATATGTAATATTTAACAAAACGACCCGTCTTTCAATGGAGAACTTACAGGAAGTATATGTTATCTTTCATTCATACCTTTTTTTTCTTATTATTTTTGCCTTTTGAAATGATGGACTGTCAAAGTGTTCTGACGTCAAAGTCTGATGACGTTCCATTGACTCAGATTTTTACAACTTTATCGAGCCATTGCAGCTTCTCATATCCGTGACATAAAAATTTTGGCCCAACGGACTGTGAACACTGAAAAACAAAAAAAAAAGATGAAAAATCAAATATCTCAATCTGTAATCTCTAATGGAAACTTAAAAATGATAGAATATTAAAGTTATGGGAGCATGTTATGGGAGCATATCTTAATATTAAAGTTTATATTTGGTTACAATCATGCACAACACAAAAATTGATCAGAAATATGGGAACTGGAAGTTTAAACTCTCCAGTATATGGTAGTAAAATCTCTCGTATCAGAATTTTGTTCTTTGACAATCTAAGATTTACGGTCAAATGTTTCACGAAAGATGGTAAATGCATTTCAGATGTATTTGGTAGATGGCTTTTTATCTTCACCTTCAGAGTAAACAGACAAATTGATCAAAGATGACACTAAGAGAATGCCTCCCCATTTCTCATTTTCCCCAAAGCCGTTAGATATTCCAGCATCTACTCAAACAATCAATATACCTTCAGCCTTCTCCTGACACCTGGATGAAAGATCTTTCAGCTTTTTATACTCAATTTCTGGTTATTTCTTAAATGGCTGACATTCTTTGCAGTCCTTTAAAGATGCCAAAACTTGCCTAGCATGGAAGGTTTTGACGTCAGTTCATTTTCAACTGAGTTAGTTAAATGTGCACAATACCGATATCATAGTTATTGGATGGTATACCATGCTTCAAGTAGAATTTCCCATTTGCAGCTTTCAGCATAACTCTCAGAAGTCTTTTTCACTAGTTTGAATGTGTCATGTGATTGTTCTTATGCAATGGAGTTTTCAGGAATGAAAATAGGATGAACGGCAGCTGAAAATGTGCTGCACACACATGACTGCCAGTAGCCTCCCGTGACACGTTGAGAAAAGAGGGGGAAAAAAGCCTCATGTGACCTGTTTCTGCTCAAAGAATGATCTCAACTTCCCATAGATCCTGGCTGCCCAAAGTGAGCGATGAGAAGTTTTAGCAAGCAGTGAGCTGCATCAACGTAATGATCTAGGAAAAACTGATCAATTGGCCATATATTGGAAAAGGAGAACTACTGAGGCTGAGATAAAGTCAGGCTCAATATTAAAGATGGATGTAAAGGTTGTGTCCACAGAGTTGTGCCTCTATTCATTGAAGGTAGTTCTTCTTGTTACTGGCTCATTATAATGCTGTTAAATATAAGTGAAACTTCAGAGTGTGAAATTTGATGTTTTAATGGTGTCTCAAACCTTTGCCCAGTGACATACAGTAATGTGCTCAGTCTAACTCTAACAGATCCAATAGCTCCATCTGCTGGCTCAGAGTGGAAGCTCATTTCAGCCAATATTTTGATCCCAGATTCCCCCAGAAGGTGAGACAGAGAACAGTGAATACAGTTTTTGATGCAAACTGTGCTCTGAGGTTGGTGTTTATCATGCTTCTATTTAACTACCTTTTTTGTTAATATGACGCTCATCAGGAAGACACATTCCCAACCGAGAGTGAAAAGAAGACACTGGATTCATAAATAAGTTCCAACAGGAACTAAATGTGTATTTAGTTGGAGCAGAGAGCAATCTTTTTCTTTCTAAAACTAGATTTTGCAACCAACTGCTATTGGTAAGAGAGGTTCTACAAGCAGATAGCTGTGATGATTGCAAATAGCTGTGACCAGAGTACATTTTAAATTTGTTTTGAAATCAAGGGGTGCCAAAAAAAAAAAAGAACTATGCGGCCAAAATGTTATGCAAGCATGACTGCATATTTTCAAGTTCTCTCTTTACAGTAAAGACATTTAAAATGGTATTTTACTTGTAAGTTGTTTAAACACATGAATAAGTGTCAGTTATAGAAACAGGATTGAATATACACACACACAAACACAACAAATGTTACTGGCAAACCATAGTTTAATGATAGAACCAGGTTAAAATAAAAACATTTTAATGAAAAGCAGACATTAAAAATCACCATAAATATTCTACAATATCCTAACCACACTTTGGACTAACACGACATAGCTACTGCAGGGACAGCTCTGTGTTAGATAATGTATAAAAGATAGATCTCCTCAGCATTAAATGGAAGTGAAGACAACTCAGGTGTGCAGTGAAAACTCCGGTAGGGAACCAACTCCAGACTAATGCTTCTCAACATCGTCTAGCTTAAGATGCCTAAACATACACTGCGTCCACACACACGCCCTAAAAGTTACACTTGTGAAAGGAAAACTTATTCTACAGACTTAAGAATTCTTGCAGGAGGTTCTTGCAGGCCTAATACGACCAGTTTTACACCCCCATCATGCTTGGCAAATATGCAAATAGTGTTTGTTGCCATAAAAGAAACTAAACTTTTTTTTATGTAAAACGAAAAAAAGGAACCTTCTTACCTCTATCGCATGGGTTTAAAAAGAAAAAGAAATATGCTGTACTCCACTGGATCTGGGCCAGATTTAAACATGAACATAAGACTCAAAAATGAAACCCCAAATCCCTGAATTTAATGTCCAAGATCAAATTCTTTAGACTTTTATGGGCTTCGCCCCCACAGAGGACGACTGTTCAGCAGTCGCTACGATAAAGTTTTGATCTTTAAGATCAAACACACACACACACAATGGTGCTTGTGTCGCGCCATCTTCCACACACCCACAACCGCACACCCACACACATGAACCATTCACTCAGTCTCCATGCCCTTGCTCAGCTAATAATAAGGACAACAATATCAGCACATGTCTTGTTGTGGTTGCTGAAAAGACATTAAGAACGAAGATAAGGCATCACATGCTATTCTTGGCAAAGCTGTATGAAGTGAAAGGGTGGCACAGCCAGGGCTCGAGCGCGGGATGAGGAAAGCTACACATGAACCCTTTTAAGTCGAGGGGATGCAACTCTTTAAAAATGAAAAGTCATGGAGAAAGATGGGGATCTGTCCTCTCAGTCCCAGCCGTTGTCCTTTATCATGTGGGAGAGCTCGATGATGTACTTCCCCTCCTTGTACTTCTGACTGAGTTCAAAGGCTTGTTCCTGCAGACAAACAGGAGGCATTAGGGCTACTCCACTGGACAGATTCTGCTCTTTTTCCCCTCTATCCTACAGCAGGAGCTGCATCAACTCCTGCATGTTTACATCTGCATGCTGCCGTCAGCAGGCCGCAGCCTGATACCCGTGCTTGGAATAAATACAGAAGTTGCTACCTGGAACATAACTTTGAGGAAGAGAAAAGAAACAACCCCCCCAAATAGCAGAAAACGAAACAGGTGATCGTTTGTGTGATCAGTCCTGTGATCAACATGTCGGTTCCAGCAGATTTGCATGTGGCGTTTCATTCTGCCCACACACATACACACACACCACAGCTCTTTTAAAAGAGGAAAAACACCACTAACGAAACAAACACACAACTGTGTTTGTGATATTCAGGAAGACCCAATATTTTATGTAAGACTACTTAGAAAATATGCACCAAAATATCACTGTTATGAGGTTTCACTGTGCATCCAAAATACCAACAAAGTTACAAAGCTTTCAGAGGACATTTTCCTTAAAGTGGCTTCTATCTCTTTATGGAACCATATGTCTATGAAACACATTTGCAGAACACCTGAAAACTAGTCAGTCTGGCACACTAAACAGCTGAGTTATGAAGCCATTTTAGATCACACCAGCATAATGCGACATTGGTGCGGCCAAAGTGCTATGAAGTGAATACCAGAGCTGCTTGTACAACAGTGACTTACATATTTCCAGCCCAGTGTGGTGTGACAGTTTTCACAGTAGATGTCAGCCACTGCGTGAAGTCCTGTTAGCAGCAGCCTCTCCTCTGCGGGGCCACAGCCCACGTTGACCCTGAAACCAAATGCAGCACTATTAAACAACAGATAGTCTCTTAATGTCATGTAGGAGACATATTCTACCTACATCCTTAAACAGCACATACCCTCCTTTTCTGACCCTTCTTCTTTAAATGGAAAAGAATGTTGCAAAACCGATGCCCTTTCCAAGATACAATCTAAAACTGAGCCTGATGGGAACAGATTAAGGCTTGAACTGCGCAGATGCTGATATTAGATCAGGAGCTAATGTTGTTTAATAGGCCCACATCTGATTGTGTATTGCTGACCCACTAACCCAAGACCAGCGTGACTAAAGTGAACTCACCCAACTTCAAGGTCCGATCTAGAGCAAATCAAATTATCTGTTGACACTGTGCTTTAAGTAAACACTTTGACTACCAGGAATTTGTTTTCAATTCAAATATACATTGAAAACCATGTATTGATGCCTGCTTTTGCGCTGGGAAGGTAAAGATATAATGTATATATTTCTCTCACAGTCTACAGTGCACACATAGACTGAGGTGGTACAGTATATCAAGACCAGCAACTTCTTTTATTTACTTATTTTTGTACATTGGCCATGCCCGAATGTGCTGAACCTTAGTTGGAAAAATGAAAAGATAATTCATACTCACACAGAGTTAAAGAGGTAGGCTCGTCCCTGACTGCCTTGGAAAGACTACGGGACAAAAAGGGAACATGAGCTCAATATAGGAATGAAAACTTTTTCAAAGTCTTAGTCTTGGTGAGAGCTGTGAAGGCCATCTGTGAGGATGAAAATTCAGCAGAGGCGATCCAGCATGTTTACCTTGGAGATAAGGTCGTCATGGTTAGCCAGATGGGCGCGGCAGTGCACGCAGCTGTAACGACGGTGGCAGGAGTCCAGGTATGCCTGGAAAGTCTTGGCCTTTGTCAGCTTCACCATGACTGGAGAGGGTGAGAGAGGGTAGCACACTTTTCAGCACAACAACACACAGTGATCCGGCGATACCTTCCTTTGTGTTCTTGTTAAACAGAATTAAGACCAGACCAGTGGACAGTAACTTCTCCATCCCATCATTAAGTCCTGGGTATCGGAACTGGTTTTGAGAAGGTTTTAGGATTGTTGATATGCAGCACAAAGCTGATTCTATCAAATCTGAACCTGCCATGTGTGCTGGAGCAATGTGAGCAATTATGTGATCTGATGATTGTCCAGAAAAGTATTTTGCCTCTCGATGGAGTCCTTTTTTAGCCATGCAAACCTGTAAGAACTGGACATGTTGCACTTTAAGATTTTGCTGTCATGCAAATAGATACAACCTAAAACCCTGACTCTCACCTTTACCTTCAAACTTTTCCACACACACATTAGAATGATGTAGCTTGTGGTTCTCTTATCTAAAAAAACAAATAAAAAAAAAACTTGGGGGGGGGGGGTAGAATACAGCTGAGAGATTCCCAATGTGTTCGGAAAATAAAAGGACAGCACCATTTGTTGACGGCGTACCGTGGATAGATTCTTCACATGATCGCCGAGCTCAAACAAAACAAGGCAGACAGGTTCCCCAAGCAGCTCGCTTCCTGCTTCATTAAACCTGGAAGTTGGCCCAAATTCAAGCCGCCGCTGCGAGGGCGAGCAGTAACGTTTGCCTACTGGTAAATACCGACGGTCGCCTGGCAGCGGGCACCCCACGTTTTGACATCTGTCTGCCCCAGAAAGCTTTAAGCTGCCAGCTTTGTCTAGCTTGTCTGGAGCTAGCCTGCTAGCCACGCTCTGCCCGCACGCGCCAGCTAACGGCAGCGTAGGATGCGCATTGCAGGATATTTCCCCTTGTGTGTCCGCTCACCTGATAACACAGAGGCTCCTTACAGTTTACACGGCGGCCAAATGTCACTGACAGTTCAAAAAAAGCACACGAAGAAAGAAGCAGGTAGGTGGGTTTGTTTTCCGTGCAGGTCAGCCCGTGCAACAGTCGACCACGCGCTGACGGTTCGCGGAAAAAAAAACAGACAACACAGCCAGCCCCTGGCTGTAGCAGCGGGGCCCGTTCACCCGCGTTTCTGTTTTGAATCCAAAGCAGTTCTCAAAGTTCTATCAAGACCTCCGTTAAAAACGGGAGCTGGAATTCGACTGCGCTGGCAGGCTGGCAGGAGAGAGTGAAGCGGCCCCGACGGGAGAAAGCCGTGGTTTGTTTATGAAAACACTCAGTTGGAGGAAGTGTGAAGAGTGCAAAACAAACCGTGACAACCAATCAGCACCCGAGAGTGACGTTTTAGAATGTGGGTCAACCAATCATATTCGACCGCACTTCAGCCTTTTATGGCTATCAATTTGATTGCTGTTGTTCCAGTTTTATAAATGCCGCTGGTGGGATCTCATTTCCTGCTTTTCCACTTGGGATCTTTTTTTTTCCCTTGTAATTTTTGTTGACAAAGTGTAATCATGGAAAGGAACACAAATGACTTAATACGACTGACGAAAGGTCGACTTTCCTTGCAAAGGCAAGATAGGGAGGGGGTCTTATTGTTGTGGTTTCTGCCTGTCTGACGAACATACACTAAGTCCTGTTTTGTCTGACCAGCCATACTAAATCTGATACCCGTTGTCTCTTCAGAGGACTTAGAGAAACTCAAAATGTTCACACGAGTGGTGGAAGCCAACAAACTACTTTAAAAATTACCGTTAATTTACATGTTCAACTATTTCTGCCTCCAAAGATTTTCTCTTAAGATGCCTTTACATATTCATGAGTGTGAACTCATCTTCTTATGAGTAAGCCTTCAGATTAGTTTTAACCTTACATCTGGTAATTTCCTTCACGAAGTCACTTATTCAAGCCTTTGCTCTTTTGATCCAGTGAATTAAAGAACTCAGTTTAGTTTAGCTCTCATTAACACAGCCGTCACAAAGCTTGGCACGGGCAACCAGGTCAGAAAAATACAGCCTTTGTTTCACTAACAGACTGGTCGATTATTATCACAGCAGTGCGGCTGGACTTTGACCATAGCTGCCTGTGAAAACAGGGGCACAGGTGATGTTTACTGCACATGGAAAGCCTCAGCTTCAAGGTTGATTAAAGATACATACATTGCTGTTCATGGGGCTGAATGCATCAACATTACAAATCATGCATCTACAGTACAGACAAATCTTTCTCTGCATGACTTTTCAATGTGCCTAGTTACATTGAAAATGATGACTCAATGCATGTCTAATTTTGATCATGAAGAAAACTAAAGGAACTATCTAAGTGATGGATCACAGATCATTTACACTTTTTATCACAGTTCACAGTTTGATCAGACCAGTCAATAACAGAGGAAAATAACAGAGACAGTCAAAACAAAGCCATGTTTATTTGTCATGGTTGGTCGCGTGACATAATCTCCGCGGTTCAATATTAGCCTCTGTGATTAGCTGCAAACTAAAATAAGGGGTTTTCCTTTTAATACTGACCTGATGCACTATAGAAAAGCATTTCACACCACACACAAACTTTTCCTCCTGATCAAAGAGCTGAATGATTGCATTGTTTTAAAGTTTGCAGTGTAACCAGCTAGGACTGTGCTTATCTTGTCCAGATTGGGGGGGACTGGATCTCACACTTCCTCTTCCATTGTCTCTTTTTCACAGACTTGAGCAACTTACACAACCCTGACTCATAGTAAAGTTGTGTTTTGGTTTTTATTGTACAAAAACATGGTGTGACTTTTGGGTCAGTCCCGACTCCTGTTTCTGAGAAAGTAATTAGTCAGAAGAGTTGGATAGTCGCTCATCACCCCTGTGGCTCCCACATCAAGTGCTGCCTTTATGTCCTCTTCTTTGTTGCAAACAAACAAGTGTACCTACAATTAAAGACACAATTGTAAAGTTCAAAGTTCACTGTTTTCAAGTAAATTAAGAGACCTAGATTAACAGAAAAAACAATCATCAATAAGAAGATGTTCATGCTAAACTGGGCACAAGTACCTGATATAACATGTTTTTTACTTGCACATTCATTGTTGCCATGGCAGCAGCATTTGGATTATAATGAATTACAATCCACTTATTCTAACATGCACTATAGATTTATTCAGCATATTGACAAATGGTGTGTGACTGATTTTGTCGTAATAAACGTAAAGAAGTCCCTATATTAGGTTAATGTTCCATTTGAGCAGGTCTGGAAAAACAGATAAAGAAGTTCTCTCTTATTTTCTGTAAACAATAGTGAGAAAAATCTTTTTTTTTTTTTTTGCTTTTAAAGGTTTAAATGCGGTGAGACTATGGGATGTAAATTTATTTATATCATGTTCCAGCTCTTAAGTGGCCACTCAAAGCCCAACAATGATCGTGATCTCATCAGACCAAGATGAGTCACATAGGAGAATGAGGTGATGCATTCAAGGAACTCACTGTGTTTTTCTGAGCTTAGTTGTTTGTCATGGTTGAAGTGTTTTATGTGTTATGTGACGGTTTGCATCTGAGGCATCAGCATCTATAGTTTTTTATCGCATGTTTAAACAGTGAAATCTGAATGACCACTGACTGTCTTTTATTTTTTCTTAAACCTCTTTTTATGTAATGCTATAAAAGAGCATATACAAATACACTGTTCTTATTTTCCACAAACCTTTTAAAAAGACCTTTGTAAATTCTTCTTGGCTCAGCACAGGTTCCAAAATACTTCGGCGTTGAGCCAAATATGACTAAAACTTTTAATAACTGGCAAAAAATTGAAACCCCATTCAAAATATAGACAAACACACACTATCATATTCATGCCATTTGATTTCACGTTAGAAGTATTTGGAAACACAAAAGAAGTGTTTTGTGCTGAAATGTTAAATCTTGCTTGATTAAGTGTGTTTTCTGACTTTCAGTTGTGTTTATCTTCAGCTTTATATCTTTGCAGCATTTTTACTTTTTACCATGAGCCAAAAGAGAGATTTCTCTTTTTTTTTATCCAAGTCACTGACATTATGTACCACAAACAATGACATCCACATTTTTGAGTGACGTCATCTACGAACAAATGAGCTGCTTTCCCACTCTTTCACTAATGGTTGAACAGGTCCTTATCTTTTTTAAGACTCTTTTAGGCTGGGCTGTATCACTGATTCAAGAGGAACAATGGACACAAAACATTTCTAAACTAGGCTGTGTATTTAGTAAAAATGCCTTTGCTAAACTGATATATCTTAGAAGGTCTGATTAGAAACAAAAAGGTGTGTCTAGTGAGCACTAAACAGAGCAACTAGACAGGGAAAGTTGGTGTTAAAAGACTGAGCAGACATTCAGGTGTTTGAATGAGCAACAGATAAGGAAAAGGGAGACAACTGTCAAACTTGCCGTTTTAGACATTTGAAATTAAGTAGGTTACTTTGTCGAATAATTATTTTTGTCTAGTCATTACTCTTATTTCTTTGACCAAGATAGACACACCTAATTCCAACAACATCTGCACCATTCCAGCTTTTATCTTCTCAAAAGGCGTAAAACGCTTGTTGCTTACCTGTATTCCGCGTGCAGCAAGGTGTTGAAAGAGACTTTTCCTCATGGTTACTCTGAAAGCATCGCATTAATACAAATCAACTAAAACACATCTGCTGTTAAACTATAATCCAGAAATGACTGAATTTGAGCATTTGGTGTATAAAACTCAACTGATGTTCCAGAAACTGCAGCACAAGTTGTGTATTTTTTGGGACATGGATCTATTGACTTCAACGTGTCAAAACCATGACTATGTAATTTGGATAATATTTCATTCCTATTTTGATTGCGCCTCTTGCATGTCACGCACTAGATTACTAAAACAAAACTTTAGAGCCATACATTTGGAGGGAAGCTTGCAGTAGTCCTTTTCAGGACTATACTTACTTTTCCAAGAAAAACAGGACCAGCCTGTTCTTCAGGATTCTCCCCTCAGGAATGTAAGTCCTTCAGCAGGTAGACATGACAAAAAGACACAAAAGACCTGTCAGAATTAATGTCCAAAGAGCATTACATTTTTTGTTGCTACTTTCATCAGATCAAACATTAGAGTTTGAGAAGAGATTCTGTGGTGTCATTTGGTGGCTTGTTGTGTGCACGTGACCACACTGTGCAGCCGCACCTGTTGATGACGCGTGGCAGGTAGAACTGCAGTAAGCTCTCTCCCAGCGGCGCAAAGGGCAGCAGGCCGGTGTAAAAGAGAAGCAGAAGAAGCACGCCACGATTCATGGAGAAACTGTACGGCATGGAGCTGTTCTGCAAGGGGGAGGGCAGGCAGAGGGATTCTGAGTGTCCACACTGGCACAGAAATTACTTTTATAAACATAATGATGGAAATGAGAGCAATAAACACTTGTTTTACAGCAATCCTGTGAAATGATTTCTTAACAGTCATATAACAGGAAAGAAAATGTGTTGTGTGACATGGTAAAAGGCTGTTCTGGGGACTTTGTCTCCCCCAGCTGGTTCACTTACAACTCTGCGGCATTCCTTCAAAATGGTTTCGTCCACAGAAGCCCACACAGTGATCCCCTCTCTGCTGTAGCATCTAACCAGGTCAGACACCTGCAGACGGGCCCAATACTGGTTAACTACATGTAAAACTGTTGAACAGTGATCAGTTATGAGGTCAAAGTAAAACTAACACAGTCATTACCGGACCTGCTACTCAGTGCAACACCTGGGCAGTAAAGCCGTGGTTAAGACGCATCATAGAATACATTTAACCTAGTGTATCTGGATGGATCATATTTTTAAGTTTCAAAGGATGTCCAAAACCCTTTTATGCATTCAGGCTATCAAAATAGGATTTTCAGCTAAGCATAGATGTAAAACAGGCGTATTTCCGTGAAAGCATTTCCTTTTGACATTTTCTTTAGTTTCTTTTGTCAGATAGCTAAATTACCTTTGTTGGAGTGATCTTTTGAACCATTTTAACATGTGAGTGCAGGTGACAAACACCTGAGATGTCATTGTATTTATGGATTCAAAAGGCATTTCAAGGCCCGTCCAGACTTTATCACCATGCTGTCAACTCGTGGTTGTGACGGATGTCATGAACTGAACAGTAGCTAAAGTTCAGCGCGCACATCCGGCCTTTTCCTATTTTGAGGCTTGTAATGTCATGTAGAAAAATCATCATTTTTTTGTTTGTTTCATTGAGATATGCTCTACCTTATGGATCAGCTGGTGGTTGTTCTCTTTTATCTCGATGCTGACAGGCACCTCAGGAAACTTCCTGAAGACGTCCTCCAACAGAGCAAACTTCCTGTCGGTGCCGGTGCTGCAGAAACCTGTAGGAAAGTAAGCACACAAGCACACCCACCGACCAACTCCTTCATTAAACAGACCCATGTCAAATGTTTTTTGTTATCTGAAAATGAGTAGAGGAACTGACCTGCGTTAAACGTCACCTCCAGTCTCTCCTTATACAAAGGCAAATCCTAAAATTAGAAAAATCAGACATATCAGGATACGTTTTGCTGGGAGGATATCAATCGTGACGGCAGGGAAACAAGGTGACATGCATCTGGGATTATTCCTGGTAAAATGGCCTGCTCCAGCTGAGTAAGTGCATGAAATGCAGTCCATTGCAAACATTTAGTTAAATGTCATCCAGAGCAAACAGTAATGTGGTTTCTTGGGAAAAGAAAATTGACCAAACACAAACATCAAAATCCCTTTAGAACTAAAGGAAAACGTCCCACTTGACACTTGAATTTAAAAGCAGCTAAACCTGGAGCCCACACTTGAAAAGCCGAGGTGTGTCCCTCTACCTTTAGATCAAGCGAGGAGACGGTGACATCGTGGCCCGTCTGTCTCAGCAGGTTCTCGTCATGAGAAACCACCACATGTCCGTCATGCGTCAGGTGACAGTCCATCTCCAGCATCTCTGTGCCCTGCCTCAGCGCGCTGACCACCATGAAGCGAACAAAAGATTAATAAAGACACAGAAATACATATCAAACCTGAACAGTGAGACAGATTTGATAAGCGTTACTACTAACTAGCTTTCAAAATGCCCTAAAACATATTTGTGAGAGTGGAAACGTGTTTGTATATTCATACGTGATAAATTACGTAGATGTGACTCGTGGCTGAGAACAGAATAATACTTGGATGCAGACTATGAGGTGTAAGATTTGTTCACCATCCTTAATAAAAGGAGTTCCCATGACACGACAGGCCTGGATTATTTGTTAATATATACCCAATCACAAGACACACTGTAATCACTTTGTGACAGACTTTCTGAAAACTGGCCTGGCTTCTTGTGTGGTGTCAGTAAAAGTCTGTTTTACTGTGATCAAAACATCAGCAGCTCCATCTCTGAGGTCTGTACTCACTGTTCAAACGCCCCCATTGTACTTTCTATCCGCTCCCCGCATCCTGAAAACAATTGCAGGAGTCAGCTGTGATGATGCTGTGGGGCAAAAGCACTATATAGACTACCTGCTCAGTAAAAAACATTTCTTCTGAATGGAGTAGAACAATTCTGATTTCTGAAAATGTGACAACAAAAGACAGGATGCTGTTTATCTTCATTTGACACCCTGCAAAATAAGCCAATATTCTTTTGTCATATTGTTGAAAATGCCCAACTGAATGTCTCACAAAGAACAGCGAGTGACTGAAACGGAACAGTGACACGCAAACAGCTTGTTTCTATGACAACATATCTAGTTTGAGTAAGATTTTTGTAGCGTTTCCAAACCTTTTTTCATTTTCAGTTGGTTAAAAGACAGAAAACGGCTACACACGACATGATTTGAAACAGCTTGTAAATTCAGTTTGGGTTTAAATGGTTATTTTCCACCTGCTTTCAACTGTCATACTCCTTCAGCCCAGATAGTGTCAGCCTGTAGCTGGAAGGTATGGATAAAAAAAAAAATAGAACAACAAAACATTACCTCCTCTGTGAGAAATGTGAGTACAGTAGAAAGCTGGTTGCTTCCTCTTGTGGAGAATAAGTGGGTTCTTCAGCAGGTACAGCGAGGTGAGAGTGTAACCTCCCAGAGCTGGTAGGACAAAGTACAGAAAACTCATTCCTTCCTTGAAGCTGCTCCAGAATGCGTCTGACAGTCTCTGCAAGATCGTGGAGAGGAGGTGGGTCAAGACTCTCAGCAGGGAACGGCGGCAAACCCCAAACAGGCTGATAGGTGTGTTGCTGTTCAGCAAGTGAAAATGAAGTCAGGAGCCCTCCCAAGACTCCCACGGAATGGTGAGAAATTCTGAGAACTGGTTGTCTCAGGACACAGGAGACAACCAGAACTGTTGAGAAATGTGATGAAATAAAAAATAAAAAAAACTAGACAGACAGGTAAGACGTCAATCCAATACCTTGGATCAGAGTCAGAGTCTGAGTCCTTCTGTTCTAGTTCCTGACTAAAACAGCTCAAACCCTCAACGAGGTATAAAGGTGAGTTAATGAAACACCGACTTGTAACCTCATTAAACTCGCTCTCTCTGGCCTCTCCCCTGCCAATGGCAACACATTGCTCTCTTTATCCTGCCTTTGTTTGACTGGAAGTGAATGGGGTTGTGTGTGTGTGTCATACCTGAGAGCTGCATATTTAACCTCTCTAGGAACCCTTTTATCCTGCGTTTTAGTTTTTACTACAGTTATGCCATCATAATCACAGTCTAAAGCCTGCTGCCTGCCCACGTTATGAGCTTTCGTCTCATTTTGAAAATGAATATCAGCGAGTGCTGAGAATTTTCTCACACGGGCAGCAACAGGTTTAGCTTCCATTTTACAAAGGGAACACGGCGTGTGGAAGAAATCGAATCTGAACGGCGAGAAAAGATGAATTAAAACTGACATGGCCTGTTTTACACACTCTATCCAGTCAGAACAGGGCTGTATAGGGAGTTCAGCTCCCATAGCACAGCTGGAATGTGTCAAACAATGCTGCAGCAGAGGAATCCATTCACTGCAGGACAAGTGACTTTCCAGCATCATCTCCCATGCTCACCTTTACCCCTTTGGGATATAAAACTAGTAAAGTTGAGATAGTTGACCTATCTCGGCGCGATAACCTATTTCTTAAGTGCAGAAGTACAGTAAGCCCTGGTGTTGCAAGATTGTCCCAGGGCAACAGCCATGCCGAGACATGCTTTCGAGGAGGATGGGAAAGACGAGCAGGTTGGCTTTTAAAGAGAAACCCGAAGCTTCCCAGCTAACTGTGTGAATAAAAAAAAGTGATTCATTACTTGACGCATTCCTTGAACGATCAGCCACGCCACATGCTCTTGAGACATGAGCCATTACTCCTCAAATTTCAATTCAAACTACAGCCTGTGTTGTATATTTTAAAATCATGATCAATTGTTTGTACTTCAATGCTAAAAATAGCTGGTTAAATGAGAAAGATTTATTTCATGCTGGCTAAATTTAAGTCTTTCACTGTAATGGATGTAAAGGCAAAAACATTAAAAAAGAAAATAAAAAAAGGACCACATTACAGCCTTAACAGTATCAGGAAATTTGACTTTATTATATGTATAATTCTGTTTTTGTTAATCGTTTAATTCATAATACCCATAGAATATACAGACTATAACCCTCAATAACTCATATCTCTTTGACAATCTATATAATCTTTTAAAATAATTCCTTATAAGATCTTGGAGGAAAAAAAAAAACATTTTCAGAAAGACTGAAAAACACTGCCAATAATAATAATAATCACGCCCATAAGAGAAAAACAAAACATACAATTAAAAACATACTAAAAAGTAAACAAAAAAAAAAACTAACTCCCTTTTATGTAAAAAAAAGAAAAAAAAAATCACCAATATAACAGTAATAATAAGAACAGCCGTTTAAAAACCACTGGAAACATCTGGGCCTTATGACAGGCAGGCATCAGATCGTCGATACTGTGTGAATGTAAACGTGTGTGTTTAAGTGCAACCGGTCACAAACACACAGGCACATTCCTCAGAACAGAGGAGAGGATGTGCGAGAGTGTGTGAGGAGCTTTGCAAAATGTGGTCCACTTGGTTTGTTCCCATAGTTAACCAGTGAGATGTCTGGTCGGGTGGCAGGTTGGGGAACTAAAGAAAGACTAACAAAAAAACAAACAAAACAACAAAAAAAAAGTCAGAGGGCCGGACTGTCTAGTGGCCAAATGTGAAATACCTAAACCATAAATCTGTGTTTTTGTGTCACAGATTTCAAAAAGCACAGTTGACTGCAGGGGAAGGGCCCAAGCAGCGAGGAAACAATGTACACTTCCAAAGCAAACACACAGAAGAAGAGTCTTGGCTTTACTGATGAGCAGATACACAAACACTTGTACACCGACGCCCCCCCCGCCCAAAAAGAAGAAACAAAATAAGAAAAAAAAAAAAACTCTGCCAGCAATCCATGAGACGTTACAAACACGACGGCACATGAAACTTAAAGCTCCAGAAAGCGAGAAGCGGGGCACAAGACAGAGAGGGCAAGTCCATGAAAACAAATCCTCAAACCGGGGGAAGGGGGGGGGGGGGGGGGGGGGGGGGGGGGGCAGCCCTTTTGAGTAAAGCAGAGTGAGGGTTTGGTTGGACAAAAGCATGGATATCAAAACACCACCCACGCACCAAAAAGCCTCAGACTGATCCCAGAGTGCTGGCTATGGCTTCTGACAGGAGAGCAGGCGAGGGGGCATCCAGAGCAGGGCTGCTCGTTTGTTTACTTTTTTCTTTAAAGATGTGGGCTTCTCTTACTAGTCCCATTACAGCGAACATTAAAAAGAGCACGGACTGAGCTGAACAGTCGAATCCAGAGCGGAGGGGGCTGGCGGCCGACGTGGGGGGGGGGGGGCAAACGGACGGGAGGCAGACGCACACACACACACACACACAAACGGGAGGGGCGACCTCTGAGGAACACGTAGAAGGACCACCACTGTAGCACTACACCACCACGTTAAAGAAGAAACAGCCAGCTTGTCAACAGCAGCACACAGAGCAGGCAGAGGGGGGGGGGGGGGGGGGG